AAATTCTGAATATGTTCGGAGATTTCTTGGGCAATAATAAATCCCCCAAAACAACAACTTTGCATTTATGCTAAACCTGCCTGTTGTAAACGTATTCTGTATATTTCTTGACATAAGTACTTGTACTTAAATCTGTTTAACAAAGCTGTTTATATTGTGGTGTAAAATAAATTTTTTATTATTATTATTTTTTTTATTTATTTTTTTTAACATTGCTTAATTTTTTAAAGATACCTGCATATTTAATTAAATATCCTTTATATGTCTTTAAGGCATAAAATATCTGCAAATTAAGATTATATACAAAAATGCATGTTCTGGGTGTTCCATGATTCTTTTTCTATCATTTATTTATTTAAAAAAAAATTTTAAGCCTGGAATCTGATTTCTTTTGGGATGAGCACCCCTCTGAGCCCCCAATTTCAGAGGCTTCTTTGGAGGTGACCACAAAAAAGTATAGATTCTATAAAATAGATGTGAGGGGGCTTTGGACAGTAATGTCACCTAATTTATACTTTTCATATAGCAGATATGTGATATGCAATGTGATTTAATATATCAGAGTATCATCACTTTAATTGACACTGCATTTTTTTATGCATCCTTTATGCATTTTTTTTTTTGGCATTATTATTTTTCTTTTTTTCTTAAATTTTAATGTCTGTTTAGAATATTGCAGGCTTTGCAATATCAAATTAATTTTGCAGTATATATATTCACAATGCTATTACAACATATTATTAAAATTAGCCTCTTTCAGAATTGTAGAATATGTGGTGGAACTGAATCCCCATATATGAGATTTGAAACTGTATTTTTAGTTCTACGCTGTGCCCTGATCAGTATTTATATACATAATTGCAGCAGCATACAGCTTTTAAAGAAGCAATTATTTCACCCTTCATGTATGGTTGACTGTGGACTTTTTAAAACCTACTTTTTTTTTTTTATAAATCCGTTTCTGGCTTTGAGAGAGCAGGCTGCTGAATGCATGTAAATGCTGTTATTGCCTAGTCTATATACTTTTATTTATAAACAACATTGATATATTGATATATAAACAACTTTGATATTTAATCTTATCTTATGAAAACCTAGTTTATGAAATTCACTGAGATTACATGTGTCTGACCGATTACAGTCAGTAGTACAATATCATTGTTCTAATTTCCTTACTGCTAGTACGGTGGGATAGTACCAATGATTTAAGTAAGCTTTCCCTTTTAAAATTGGTGGACTTTACTGCCATTGCAATAGACTAAAGACTGTACCTAAGTAAGCAAAGTCATTATGTGCAGGAATTGTGCACTTTAAATAGTAGAATACTTATGCTATTCTAGTGAATTGGGCTGGCTGCTTAACACATCATTTAATATCTTTTGGTCACATTTAAAGCTGTAAATGTATTTAACATTTTATTTAAATAAGCCTTTAATAATTTCAGTTTAAAAGTTATTAGAGATCCTGTATAGTTACAATTTTATTTTGCCCTGATCTATCTTACGTATATATTATTTTTAATCATTTTATAAATATTCATTTTTTTGCAGAGCCTGTTGCCCTTTTTTCTATCAGGGTAGTATAATTTCAACTCTGTTTAGGAAAAAATATGAGCTAGCTAGCATATATTATATAAAATATGTGCTGCATTGTACTGCACTGAATTTATTTAAAAGCCATGTCTTTCTCTTTATGGCTGTATGTTGTTCATAATTTGGAATATAAAAAAAAACGACTTCTCAATTCCTTGGAATGTTTACATGTCTCTGTATCTCTGCAACCTTGGCTGGAAATTCCAGACTGAAAAAATAGTTATGCTGTTCTAATTCCTGATTTTCTATCAACAGCAAGCATAATTGACAATATGGAAATTATCACTGTTTTCTAAAACCTTTCTTATATAGTGGACATTAGAATCCAGAACGCAGTAATGCAATAATTAAAAATCCTGTCTGTCTGTTGCATGAATGTTTTCATTAAGCCATAATGCAATTTTCTTTGCATTCTTGGAATTAGACTTCAAATTTCATCGCTCTGTCTTATCACTTTTCTTTTGACAACATTTTGCATTAATCTTTTTCCTGCGCATGCATACTAAGCAGTTACAAAGTGAACATATCCCCCTGTCTGCAATCCACTGTCCTGGAACTAACGGGCCATGCTATGCTGGTGTATTAGGCATTTGTTCTATTATGATATTAGTTAAGATCCACAATTTCAGCATTGTATGCTAATTACGTTGTACCTGGCACCTGAACTTTTGAAGTGCTTTGTTCACATTAAAATCATCTCTAATGATGAAGATCTCTCTCTGAGTCTGGGCTACACATAGCTCAATAGATTCTTGATATTTCAAGACTTGTGCCATGACAAAGTACTGTGTCTTCTCTTACGTATAAGAGGTTACCTAGGTATTTATTTTATATTTAAAGCTTCCAAGTACAAAGTCCCTTCATGGTCGCCAATTGTAACCGTGTGTGGTTCCCTTATTTACCACTATAATGTCTTAAAGCATAGAACTTAGTAGGGCTAACCATACAGATATCTTAACCATAATTTTATATAGTGTAAGAGATCCTCTATTTAACATATATAAATAATTGAGAATACAATATAAAATAAGGATTGTCTTGGAAGCAAGATTGTCTTTTGGATATTTATTATATAAAAATATATAAAATCCATTATAGCAGAGTTTATAAGATTAAATTACATGCTTGCAAATATCATTAATAGGTTAACATACCCTTCTGAACATGTCATCATGTCAGCCTCTCTGTCATTTTAAGATGGAGCAGCGTCTGTCTCCAAGTCTCTCCTCTGTCTCTTAACATTTAAAAGTACACCTATTTATACCTTAGGTGTCGTCATTTTAGAGTTACCATAGTTCATATGTGAAAAAGTACCACTTCTTTTACTTTATTCATTTTAGGACCTCCCTTAACTTGGCAAACATACAAGGCCATAACTAAAGGGTGTATACGTCACGGAAATTTTCCTGACTTAGTTCAAGATGGCATCTTAAAGTCTAAATAGGTTATCTGTTGTTTATACTAAGTCGTAAGTGTACAGTCGTGGGAGATTCCCGGATTTGGGGAAGTTCCATTAACTTGGGGTTACCACAGTATATTGTGTACTGCAAGTGTCGTAGTATAGCCTTGAAGCTTGTTTATGCATTATTGTTATTGTAATTCGTCTGGGACAAAATGGCGCAAACATATTATGCACTGAGGTTATTGCTTAAAGAAACAGTTATGAAAAACAATATGTTCCATTTCTTACACCTTGTCAGTTTGCAATATCTCTTAAAGACAAAGTACACAGTTTAAGAAATACAACATTTCATTCTAAAACTTGTAATATTTGCATTTGCCCGTAACAGTGGTGAATTAATTAAAGGGTGGGCTGGATTAATTAGAGGGGGGTGAATTAATTAAAGGGGGTGAATTAATTAAAGGGTGGGCTGGATTAATTAGAGGGGGGTGAATTAAAGGGGTGGTGAATTAATTAAAGGGTGGGCTGGATTAATTAGAGGGGGGTGAATTAATTAAAGGGGGGTGAATTAATTAAAGGGGTGGTGAATTAATTAAAGGGTGGGCTGGATTAATTAGAGGGGGGTGAATTAATTAAAGGGGGGTGAATTAATTAAAGGGTGGACTGGATTAATTAGAGGGGGTGAATTAATTAAAGGGTGGGCTGGATTAATTAGAGGGGGTGGATTAATTAGAGGGGGGTGGATTTATTAAAGGGGGGGTGGATTAATTAAAGGGGGGGTTCAATGTACATACCGGTACCGTAAATAAATAAGCCCTACCCTGAAAATAAGCCCTAGTGTGTTTTTTGTGACTAAAATTAATATAAGACCCGGTCTTATTTTCGGAGAAACACGGTATGACTCTGTAATCTAGAGAAAATACAAAGAACGTGCGATATAGTATATACACACATACACATGCAAAGTACCTAAACTGAGCCCAACAGTGAAAGGTTCCAGAAGGAGGTAGTGAGTGGAAAACCACGAAAGGTAATTATTTAACCTCACCACATAACTACTAAAAAACGTGCCACAAGGAACCGAACAGAAAAGCTTGCACGAATGGGAAGAACTACAGTGTATTCTTAATGAAGAGTGAAAGTTTATACCAAAGCATATGGTACAAGACACATGCGAACTGTGAAAATTATGAAAACAGGCTAATCAAGAACTGCTGAGTGAAAGTGGCTACGGAGGCTAAATTTTTAAAGGAATGGATGCAGTAATTTAAACACGTACGAATGGGCAAAGCCAGTGAACGTAAGAATTTAAAACAGACAAACTACAGAAAAACTAATGAGCATGCTATATGGCACTATGAAACATGCGAAAGTAAAACGAACGGCCCTCGTGTATGAAAATGCAAAGGGAGTCCATCCCCACAGTTGGTAGGCCCGAACGTGGGAACGCCACGCATGGGTTCCCACGTGTACATACATAAGTGCGCCGCATCTCGTGGCCGGTGTCTGTGAAACGAGAGCCGGGTCAGAAAAATGGAGAGAAGTTGCAGGCCGGATCAGAGATGTTGTCATGGCAACATCACCCGAATCAGGACCTGGCAAAGGTAAGTAGGGGGGTAGAGTTTATATAGGGAAAGCTCCTCCCACAAATTCAGGCCTATGGCCTTTAACATATATACACTGAACAAAATAATAAAGCAACACTTTTGTTTTTGCCATTACTTATGATTTCATGAACAGATAACACTTTTTTAATAATGATGGGCAGCTCATAAAAAGACTGCCCTGTCACCGACAATGTATAGCATTCATGTGCTGCATGATTTCTCTTACATTCATTTACTTCCCTCATGCAGAGAATAACTTGTCATTGCAGGTCAGCAGTTTTCATATATTAATACAAAAAGATAAGTCCTGCGCTCCCTACCATCACTCCTGGGCAGCAGCAACGACCACAGTACACATCAGCCCCAATTTGTAGTAAAAACCAAAGAAAAAAAAAAGTTACCTGTGCTCTCTCCTTAATCCCTATGTCTGTACATTTGTCTAAATATACATAGGGATTAAGGAGAGAGCACAGGTAACTTTTTACTTTTCATTAATTGCCTATAAATATGGGTATGTGTCAAGGAATAATTGGTGGATCTTGTAACATTATAGGGGTATTCACTAAAATGAGAATTGTTGTGAGTTCAAAGTGAATTTACATTTTAAGACCTGTTATGGTGACAATTTGGCTACTTTGGCCTTAAATGGGAAATTAATTTTGAATTATGACTTTAGTGTATAACCCTGTTAGTTACCTAGCATAAGGATTTGAGAAGTGCTGCAGTTTGTCCCCTGTTCCAGCTAGGAAGCGGTCCTTGGTGGAGGTACCCAGCCAGTGGTACAGGGAGCTCCATTACATTGGTGGTAGAAGTGGGATGGCTTCCTAGTCTTGGGGGAACATCCAGAATACACCTAGAACTCCTGCACATCTTGAAACAAGCATGGCGCCCAGCTACTGTGAGGCAGAGTTTGACAGAGAGTTTAAGGTGCGGCTGGCTTTCTTCTGATCCAACTCAGCTGAGAAATATGTACAGTTCTCGAGGAACCTAGTGGCCGAGTACCTCCAGCGCATGGCAGAACTAGCAAGTGAGAGGACACGGTGGGGCATATCCACACCCCAGCAACAGAATGCAGCCCAGGGGGAGAAGCGTTCCGTCCTTCCTCCCCAGCGGCAGTGTGAGGTCCAGGGAACGGAGACAACCGGTCTTGTTCCCAGGCGGCAGTGTGCATCACAGGAAGAGGAGAGTATTGTCCTCTGTCCCCAGCTATAGGGTGAGTTACAGGGAGTGGAGACGACCAGTCTCTCTCCCCAGCGACAGAGTGTGTTACAGGGAGTGGAGTATGTCGTCCTTCCTACCCAGCAGCTGAGGTTGTTACAGGGAGTGAATTACATCATATTCCAGCACCCGGCATCACTACAGAGGGCGCGCGCGAGGGAGCAGTAAGGAGTAGGAAGAATGAGCTCCCTGCTGCCGCCAGCGACCTCTTCTTCTCAGTCAGGTACATTTTTGCAGAGTAGGCAGCTGCAATGTGGGGAGAGCAGGTGCCTACTCTGTCTTAACATGTCAAACTCACAGCTCACCGGGCCACGAAGATATTCTTTGACATGCTTGGTGTACTGTATCCTGTGCGAACTTGACTATGTATTAGCTTCATCCCACTTAATAAAGAAATATTTATAAAAAAAACTAACAAAGAGAAACAAGAACAAACCCTTGCACATGATTTTATATGGTGTACATATTTTAAAAATAAATAAATCTTAGTTAATAGTAAATGTTATTCCCTCCATAAGATTTCATCACAGCCAGTGTTTAACTCTTTGTGTCCACAAATACACAGTTGAGTCACATTTAGAAGCCTATGCAATGTGTAACATCGAACAGGATATTACTCATTCACCAAAAACAGACCCTGAACTCAAACTGTCGAAAACTCACACGCTGAAGATAGAGTAGCCAATGATTCAAGTTAACATTTGAGTAGTTTCAGGAGTACTTTAGGTCATCGCAAACTAGCTTCCAAAGTAAATAGGTCTCAGCATTTGTGGTAATTAAACTACTGCAGTCAACAATGCAATGGCTTAAAAATGTATAAAGGAAAACAAAGAAAAGGAGATAAAATTACAAGGAGTACTATTATGTTTCTTGAATAATAATATGTAATTATTATTGTTACTATTACAACTTATATAGATCCAGCATATACTGCAATGCTGCCTAATAACTGTTAGAGATTCAGTTCCTTGAGAGAACACGAGTTGTATTATTGCATGCAAGCCATATCATTGGTCCTTAAACAGGTAAAGAAGTACTGTCACTTTCACTTTTTTGCATAGACATTTAAGCTGGTATATACACTTCCATGGTGGTACCCAGGAGGCGGAGGAGGGCGCAGCACAGCGAGAGAGAGAGAGTCCAATGGAGGTTGGGTCTAGGGGAGAGAGACAGTTCAGTTTCTACATCACATTGCAAACAAAGCATGCTACAGGCATTCAGTGCTAGATTCTATTTGATAAGATAAGCTTAGTTTATGTAATTGAGGTGCATATTAAATTATAAGCAATACGCTTATCTCATCTAATCGGATTTAGTCCTAAATTTGAGATCAGAAAAAGCAAGATTAATAAAGGTCATATATATTTATATATATACAGGTAAAATGTTATACTACACACAAGGAATACGATAGAATGCCATATTGCACCCTTAAAATTTGGGTTACACTAATTAGGTTTACAGACTTCAGGCATTTACAGCTAAAAGTAGGGTTAGAATTATGTTTAGAGTTATTGGCTATTGCTGTTTTTAAAGTTAGAATCAGATCAAGGATTAAACTAGAGTTGTCACTATACTCAACGTTAACCTTAATCATAAATATTATAAATAAAATAATAAAAAAAGAAACAAGTGCGTCATTTGGAGAATATGATTTACATACAATGTTTTTCCCCACTGGGGGACTGAATACGAGGAACATGTAAAAAACTGCAAAGAGATTTCTGGTTAAATCCCACAGTATCATACAGAGGGCGTGTTTGCACTGTCTTATAAATGCAATAGGAGCACAGAGGACGAAACAGACTAACTAAAGAATAACAAGGGCTGGCTCAGCATCACGACAGATCAGTATCAGGTATTTAACATCCTTCCTGCTGTCTCATATCTACATCAGATGGATAAATCCTTCATTTAGCTAAATCATTGATTTCTTATTTTATGTCTAAACAGAAATGACAATGGCACAAGTACCAGACATGGAATCCTATCTCATGGACAATAACAGGTAACGTGGCTTAATTTATAAGAATTAACTGCACTAACCCATATTTTCCTCTTATGTGCAATATTTGCTGTATGTCAGGTTAATTCTAATCCCATTTTATTATATAGACCTACAAGCTTCATAAATTAAAGACATGTTTTTTTGATTACAAAAAAAAAAATCTAACCACATTTTTCCTTTTGAATTTTAGTGACTACGAAGAAAGTTTTTATGACAATTTTTACTGCGACACTAAGGTAAATGCCACCACCAATTATGTATGATTAAATAGTATGGACTACCTTACTAGATTTAATGCACTGTATATGGCTTTCGTATGTACCAAGAGTAAAGTTTATTATGCTCTATTGAGGAGAGGTAAATGTAAGGCTTAATGAGTCAACAGTAAATTTTGGATAATAGATTACTAAATTCCAAGTTTTGTCCAAAAAAAACTTGTTAAAAAAATGTTTTCAATATATTAATTACGTCCTGAAGATTAACAATGGAGTGATCAGTTTATATCTGCAGAAATGCAGATTTTAAAAAAATATCAAAAATATAGTTAACGTTACGCATTGTCTTTCTACAGAAAAGCTTTCATGATTCCCACTGCTTCTCTGGAGCCAGCAGTTGCTCTGGGTACATCCCAGAAAAAGATTCTGTGTTCTCATTTAGGAAAGCCGTAGTTATAGTGGTGGCTATCGATAAACTAAGAAAAAGGATAAACTGCCACCGAGACTTTAAAGACACAGATTTACTTGACCTATTTAACACCATATTTGTGCAAGGTAAGATGAAGGGTTGATTGGGATATATTAAACAAACTTTTGGAAGAATCATTATTACCCCATAAGATTTAACATGATGGACTGATTATAATCATATAGGTAAAATTATTGCAGATTTTAACATTAATTATGATATTTCCCATTTTAGCAAATCCTATGTCATGGGCTGTCTTCATAATGTACGATGTTTGCATTACCTAGTACTTACCTATACACTAGTGCTCCCAATAGTTATATGGGGCCATACTAACTGACAATCTGTTTAGAACAAGTACAGTCGAAGAGACTCATTTTTAAAACTCACAACATTGCTAGTGGTATGAGGGCAGAGGTGGGACCACATTGCCAAGTTCCTCCTAGTAATTTTGGATCCTTCCTTCCTTCATACCTTTAACTTCCTTCATCCATTCTCCTTCCTTCCTTCCTTCCTTAATTTTCCTCCCTTCCTAATTATTCCTGCCTTCCCTCATTCATTCACCTTCCTTTCTTTCTTCCTTTTCCTTCTTTCCTACCTTTTCCTGCCCTCCCTTATTCAGTCAACTTCTTTCCTTCTTTTTCCTTCCTACCTTTTCCATCCGTCATTCTTTCTCCTTCCTTTTTTTTCCTTTTCCTTCCTTTTCCTTCCTTTCATCACTCATTCTTCTTCATATCTTCCTTTTACTTCATTCATTCCTCCCGTTTACTTCCTTCCTTCTTTCCTCTTTCTTTGCCTTCCTCCCTTCCTTTTTTGCAAAACTTTTGCATTTTATTATAAGGAAAGCTTGTTTTTTTTATAGGTAAATAGGCCTATTGAAGAGCAAGCAATACATAATTTTCTCTGTTCTTCTGTAGGTAGCCACCTACTTGTAAAATCGATGATAGAAACCTTATAACTGTAAATTTAATTTCACAAATGATCACACTTTCCATAGGTTTCATGTTTAAAAGGCATGCAATACACGATTTCTTTGATGGTGATTTAAACCAGGAATGTGGAGAACTGGCGAGGCAATCACTGATTAACCTTACTTAACCTTCTAAGTTAGAAAATGCAGCATTTACATTTTTAGGCATTCTAGCTAGCTTTCCACACTTGATCAAATTCTAAAACAGAACCATAGTTTCAATTAATATAAGCAAAACAGGATTCTCATTATAGAATTCTGGTCTGATATATTTTTTACTCTTTTAGAGGATATTCCTTTTGAGACCTCAAGCAGCACCTTTGCAGCCAATGACCAGTACAAATATTCAATATCAAAAGAATGCTGCATTAGAGATTCTTATAATAAGTCTATGGCATTGCTGCAATCTTCCGGGAACGCCAGGCTTGTGGCCATTTACCTACAAGAGTTAAACAGCGAGAGAGAAGGTAAGTCAGCATTACTGTCTTGTTACGTTCCTATGCCTATGTTTGCTGCTCCAGAGACTCTTATAGTATGTCAAGGGAATATAGTTTAAATGGGGCCTTGTTGACTACTAGAAGTCACTGCGATAAAAGAAAATGCTTTGAACAGGTTAATCTTCACCTACAGCCTAATCGATTATCAAATACTAGTCTACGGTCTTTGCTTTTCATGGCAATGCAATATTAAATGGAACTCTATAACAACCTTACCATTATTAAAATTAAAAACCTCATGATTACCACAGCAGTTACAGCTTGTTGAGATTATGGGCTGGTTTTCAAACACAATCCATTTGAAAAAACTGTTTCTAATAATCACAGAGAAAACCTAGATTAATGTGTTGCATCCATAAAAGATTATGTGTATGAATAAATATTTCTCTAGTCGTTATTGATTTTTGTCCGATATACTAACCTATGGATGGCTTTTTCAATTTCAGAGAAGATAATTATGAATGTTTACGTTAAACAAAATGTGAGTGGAATCAATAAGCGACCTGTTACGCTAGGACTCGTGGGGCGCAACTTATACCTGTCATGCAGCTCTGTAGAAGGTGAACCAAAGCTGTATTTAGAAGTAAGTAGTACATTTACCCAAATTATCATTGCTGATTCATTTTCTTGCAGTGATACTTGATGCTGAGCATTATGGGAAAATCTGCACCACAACAAGTGAAATGTCAAACTGTCTAGACCTACTTCTTATAGAGAGCAGAAATCATGAGGGACAGTTGTTTCCACCCTTGTGAATGTTGTGGGGGCTAGTGGTGCATAAAGTATTACCAGTACAAATTGTGAAAAATAAACAAAATTCAAGTTTTATTTTGGGTACTTTACAAAACAGAAAAAACAACAAGAAAAAAACCCAGTACAACAAACCTACAACATGTTATCTGTCTAAACCCCACATGCATTAGCATACATGAATGGGGCAGATAATTTCTGCTCTCACTCTAATTTCGATTTCATGACTCCAAAACTTAGGCTTATCAAGAATCGTCAGTGTACCAGTGAATGGTGAGGTTTAAACAGATAACAAATATGTTGTTAATTTCTATTTTATTTTTATAATTTTTCAGGGTGTCGTTACTGAAATTGCTTAATACATTGCAGACAACAATATTACATAGCACTACTATAGTGTTCCACTATGTACAAAGATCTTTAATTGCTCAAAACATAGAAACATAGAATGTGACAGCAGATAATAACCATTCGGCCCATCTAGTCTGCCCAATTTACTTTCATTAGTCCCTGGCCTTATCTTATAGCTAGGATAGCCTTATACCTGTCCCACGCATGTTTAATCTCCTTCACAGTGTTAACCTCTACCACTTCAGCTGGAAGGCTATTCCATGCATCCACTACCCTCTCAGTAAAGTAATACTTCCTGATATTATTTTTAAACCTTTGTCCCTCTAATTTAAGACTATGTCCTCTTGTTGTGGTAGTTTTTCTTCTTTTAAATATAGTCTCCTCCTTTACTGTGTTGATTCCCTTTATATATTTAAATGTTTCTATCATATCCCCGCTGTCTTGTGTTTCCTCCAAGCTATACATGTTAAGATCCTTTAACCTTTCCTGGTAAGTTTTATTCTGCAATCTATGAACCAGTTTAGTAGCCCTTCTCTGAACTCTCTCTAAAGTATCAATATCCTTCTGAAGATACAGTCTCCAGTACTGCGTACAATACTCCAAGTGAGGTCTCAACCGTGCTCTCTAGTATCTGTAAATAATATGGCAGACTAGTGTTTAACAGCACAAGATACTAAAAGAATCTGCAGTTTTTTCCTAAAATTTGAATTCTCTAGGATTTCTCCAGTTAGTTGTCATTATTAATAAAGTGCCAACAAATTCTGCAGAACTGTACAATAGGTGGACTAACAAGTTGCATACAGTAACATTTTGTCAGTTAACATTTACCACAAGGTGATTTTTTTTTTTTTTGTAACTAATGTTACACATTGTTTATAGTTTCATCTATAGTAGTAGTATTTTACTTTGTTCAATTATCGGGGCTTCAAAGTGGAGACTCATCTTGTGTACATAGGGTATGCTTTAGAGATATCCTAAACGTTCAGCAGCCAGTCACACACATACACTTACTTGCAGACACAGATACACACAGGTATATTGATCCAGGATTGTGAACAGACACTGTGATGCAAACTGTGCTGCTTAGCTCATTATGTAACACTTAATTTCAATATTTCTGTTAAACTCTGTCTTTCTTTCTTGCAGAAGGTCAGTGACATTAAAGAAGTAAAACAAGATGAATTACAACGTTTCATCTTCCTGAAGTCTGAAAACGATGCAACATGCACCTTTGAGTCTGCGGCTTGCCCCGGCTGGTATATCAGCACTTCTCAAGCTGAAAACGAACAGGTCCAGATGAAGCCTGAAGCTGATCAAAAATATATCAGAGAATTCTTAGTCCTTTCCTAGAATATATATATATATATTTATATATTGCTACATATGTATAACAATGATCTGTTATCCAACCCAGTATCCTGCATGTATGTACTGAGTACAAGGCAGAATGTTGTTAAATGATAGGACTGGTACAGGAAACCATATCTGAAACACATATTGTGCTGGTCATATTCCTAGGAAACATATAGAAAAAAAAGTACTTAAAGGGCACTTCAGTGATTTGAAGCGGTCATGGTGCCTGGAGTCTGTCTGCGCAGTGTTCCACTTTGAAAAGCTGCACAAACAGAGATTAACTCAATAGCTGCCAGAGACAGCCTCATTGGGGTGTCACCAACCAGCCCAGAACTAGAACTTCATTGCACAGAATGTCAGTAACTGGCTGACAGTAGTCAGCTGACACTCTCAGCCAATGAACAGCAATTTGTGCTGCTTCCTTGCACGTCACTGGACCACCATGGAATATTGTAGCCCGACAGAGACCCAGGGAAGGGGGCAAACCATTGCTAAACAGTTTGCCCCATTACCAGGGAACCAGGCCAGAGTACTTCTAGTATCATAACCATAACAGCAGGCTGAAGTGGTTATTATGCTTGGAGTATTTTATAAGAGCTATCTTTATTTAACCCCTTAAGGACACATGACATGTATGACATGTCATACTTCCCTTTTATTCCAGAAGTTTGGTCCTTAAGGGGTTAAGCTCTTCAGTTGACAACTCTGTGCAAAGCAATATTGGATCACAAATGATGTTGCAGATTTACATTGTACAGTAATATATATAGCACTGAAAGTGAAAACAAAATACGTAATGTAATCATGTCAGTACAATGTGTAGATCAAAATGATTTTTAAAACGTGTCATGTTTGGATGTTGATTACAGCTATCAAGACAGCTTTTACTTTTCCTGTCCTAGTCTTTTCACTTTTATAAAGTGGGAGGTAAACCAATCATGAATAACTAGCAGAATTAATATGTTTATGTCAATATATAATTTTTCTACTATGTTTGTGTATTTAATATTTATATTTTATATTTGTTGGTTGTTTGTACTTGTACCAAGTATATAGTTTTACACATTTATTTAAATAATTTTATTTATGAGCAGGAAGTGTTTTGTACGTGTCAATTGATTTATATATATATATTAAATATTTATTTTTTATAATTTTTTTTCAAACATTTTTAAAATTTAATTATTTATTAAATGGCTGAAATTAAAAGGATTTTTTGTATTTTTTTTTTTAACAATATTTACTAAAGGAACACTATTAGGTCAGGAACACAAACATGTATTCCTGACTCTATAGTGTTAAAAACACTATGTACCTATAGATGACTTACATCTCCAGCATAGATGATCTTCTGTAAGAGAAAGGAGGGTAAAGACGAAAAGCTAAGGACTATTTCCATACCGGGAGTCAAACCCAGGCCGCCTGGGTGAAAACCAGGAATCCTAACCGCTAAACTATATTGGAAGCTCTATGCCTATATGCTATAGGCACATACCTTCGTGTTTTGTGGGACTGTATAAAAATAAAAAAAAATGGGGGAAAAAAATATTAATTTATTCTAACAAGCTTAAACTTTGAACTAAAGATATCTCCAGAAGTAGCTTTACTTCACTTAAACTGGCCCCCTACACCCCCTGCGAACAAACTAATTATAACCCACTTATTTCTAGTTACTAAAATTGTCATATCTAGACATTGGAAAAATAGAAATATTAGTTTTTGGTCACAAGTTAAAAATCAACATAAATTCCAGAACAAAATGGAAAAATGCTCAGTATACAAAATGTTAGTAGGAAAGCACCTCTATGGGATACATGTTGGCATTTGCCAAATAAAAGTTCAGCCTCACTCATTCAACCATGAAGATACTTAGTAAAACTCTGGTGAAGCGAAAGGAAAGGAAATGTTTAAGTATTCATCAGAATTGATTAAAATACAATTATTTGTATATGCAAATAGACATAATTTCCTTTCCTGTAGTTTACACCCCTGGACAGGATAAGTAATAATAAACTTGAAAAATGTAGTCTTAAAATACCAGCTAACTCTGGAAGTTTGGATAAAAGTTATTCCCCTCTCTCTCTTGGTATCTTATAAATAATTAGTCTGTTTCGTTTTGTCTTCTATCCAAAGTTATTTTCGTTTGTCTGTCTGTTTGTTAGTATGTCTGGCGGCTCATATCTTATTAAATTAAAATTGCAAATTATTATTTAATACATGGTTTAAAGTAGTAATATATATATTTTTATATAACATTTGAATATAAACTGAACAAAATTATAAATGCAGCACTTTTGTTTTTGCCCCCATTTTTCATGAGCTGAACTCAAAGATCTAAGACTTTTTCAATGTACACAAAAGGCCTATTTCTCTCAAATATTGTTCACAAATCTGTCTAAATCTGTGTTAGTGAACACTTCTCCTTTGCCGAGATAATCCATCCACCTCAAGATGCTGATTAGACAGCATGATTATTGCAAAGGTATGCCTTAGCCTGGTCACAATAAAAGGCCACCCTAAAACGTGCAGTTTTATCACACAGCACAATGACACAGAGGTTGCAAGTTTTGAGAAAGCGTGCAGTTGTCATGCTGACTGCAGGAATGTCCACCAGAGCTGTTAATACACACATTAACATACATACACACAGACACATGCATATAAACGCACTGACTCATACACACATTCATGCACACACACACTCATAATAACATACTTACACTCATACACTTAATTTTTATTTTAATAAACAATAAAATAATATATATTACCAGACTTTTCCGTGTATAAGACTATGTTTTCTTCTACATTTTTCCAGTCTTAAATTGAGGGTCATCTTATACACGGAATGTCACTGCAGGGGTTAAAAAGTTTGGATAAAAGTTATTCCCCTCTCTCTCTTGGTATTTTATAAATAATTAGTCTGTTTCGTTTTGTCTTCTATCCAAAGTTATTTTCGTTTGTCTGTCTGTTTGTTAGTATGTCTGGCGGCTCATATCTTATTAAATTAAAATTGCAAATTATTATTTAATACATGGTTTAAAGTAGTAATATATATATTTTTATATAACATTTGAATATAAACTGAACAAAATTATAAATGCAGCACTTTTGTTTTTGCCCCCATTTTTCATGAGCTGAACTCAAAGATCTAAGACTTTTTCTATGTACACAAAAGGCCTATTTTTCTCAAATATTATTCACAAATCTGTCTAAATCTGTGTTAGTGAACACTTCTCCTTTGCCGAGATAATCCATCCACCTCAAGATGCTGATTAGACAGCATGATTATTGCAAAGGTATGCCTTAGCCTGGTCACAATAAAAGGCCACCCTAAAACGTGCAGTTTTATCACACAGCACAATGACACAGAGGTTGCAAGTTTTGAGAAAGCGTGCAGTTGTCATGCTGACTGCAGGAATGTCCACCAGAGCTGTTAATACACACATTAACATACATACACACAGACACATGCATATAAACGCACTGACTCATACACACATTCATGCACACACACACTCATAATAACATACTTACACTCATACACTTAATTCTTATTTTAATAAACAATAAAATAATATATATTACCAGACTTTTCCGTGTATAAGACTATGTTTTCTTCTACATTTTTTCAGTCTTAAATTGAGGGTCATCTTATACACGGAATGTCACTGCAGGGGTTAAAAAAACCACTTGTGCGCAGGGCCTAAGTTAAGATGGTGCCTGCCGCATTGAGGTCCCTATATGCTTGGGAGCTGCAGCAGACATCAGCACCTACCACCAATGGAGCCATGTCACACCATAAAAGGTAGGTCTTGCTTTCTGATTTATATTTATGGGGGAGGATATGGGGATCAGGGAGCAGAGGGAATACTACTGTGATGTCCCAGCATGCCCTCACACCACCTGCTGTATTATGGGAGCTGTAGTCCCCAGCATGCACTATAGAACCATTAACTTTACAGCGTACCTTAGCACAGGGTAGGCATGAGAATCAGAAGTGTTTTGTTCTCCTTAGAGGTCACTTCTAAAATATCAAAGTCGTTCTATTTGATGTTTAAAATATTAATTTCCTAATTTTGGGCTCAAAAAATAGGGATCGTCTTATACATGGGGGCATCTTATACAAGGAAATATATGGTATTTTATTACTTTCCAGCCTCCATTTCCTTACCTGGATAGGGAGTACTAGAGTGGAACCTTATTGCTGGGATCAAGTGGGGTACTTCTGGGATTAGTCTCTGCACTGATTTCACAGTCCCCCGCTACTCTGTATGTTTCCCAGGGCTAGGATGAAATTTTTTCCAGGCTCCTACAACAGTACAAGACATGTGAGGGAGCTGGTAAATCAGTGCAGGGTAATACCAGCAGCACCCAACACGCCAGCAACACGCTTGCCTCTCCCTGCCACCTGCTACCTGGGGCGAAGTGCCTCCCGCCCCACCTCTGTACACTACTAGTCTTAGTGTCTATATATGGCTTGGAGTGTGTGTGTAGGTGATGCAGAGTGTGTAGATGCTTTTCACTTGAGTACCCCTTGGCAGCCCATTTCCATAAACTGTACCTCTCATATTAGCAAACGTTTTTGTAAATATTATAGTTGCTGTTATTTTAAAGTTATGTGATTTCCTCTGCCCTATCACCCCTTTTTTTCTGTTCCAGGTTCTTTTGCTCTTCTTCTGCCCTAGGCTCCCCAGAGTGCAGATACACTCATGTGGATACACAGACGTGCAGACTGACACACGTGCAGATGCACAGATACAAACACGAACACACATACAGTAGCACAGACACACTGACCCACATACAGATGTACAGACACACATATACAAACAATGACACAATCATACAGATACATAATACAGATACACACGCTGACACACATGCAGATACAAAGATACACAGATACAAGCAGATGAAGAGACACACATGCATACACAGAGAAAACACTGACACATACAGATACAGGCACACATATACACAGACTGACAAAAACACAGATGTACAGACAGACACAAACACTGCCACATGTGCAGATACACAGACAAACAGATGCAAACACTGGCACACATACAGTTGCACAGACACACTGATACACATACTGGCATACATACAGATACACACATTGACAAACATACAGTTGCCCAGACACACTGATACACACACTGACATACATGCAGATACACAGATATACACACTACCATACATATAGTTGCAAGGACATACTGATAAACACACTAACACATATACAAATGTACAGACACACAGGTACAAACACTGCCACATATGCAGATACACGGATGGCAACAGTGATATACATGCAGTTGAACAGACACACTGATAAACACACTGCCACACATGCAGATACACAGATACAAACATGTCACACATACAGACACGCAGTTACACATACAGATATACACATTGACACACATACATATGTACAGACACACAGATACAAACACTGCCACACATGCAGATACAGACACACACACTGACACACATGAAAATACATAGACACATAGATACAATCACTAACACACACATAAAGATACACAGACACACATATGGACATTCATGCACATAAACAGACACATACTGATACACACACAAATGCATATATATACAGATACAGACACACAAATAAACAGACATACAGAAACACACACTGACACATATACAGACATACAGACACACACACACAGATACACACACTCACATGCAAACAGATACAATGACACACACATTCAAACGCATACAGATACAATGTCACACACAGATACCAGGGCCAGCCCAAAATGTTTTGCTGCCTGGGTCCCCCAAAACCAGGCCACCAAAACACGCCCACATTCATTATGTTGTATTATGATAATTAAAACCAAAATGAAATATATCATGATTAGATAAATACATTCCAGTAACATATTTAGATCAGTGCACACTAAATTAAACATCACAACATATATGCTTCTGCAGTGGTGTTAAAATATTAGCTAAGTACAATATACGTCAATCACTAACAATAACAAACCAAAAAGTTAATTTGTCAATTTGGGGATGTAGTGTGTCTGTGTGTGTGATAGGGATGTAGCCTGTCTGTGTGTGCGTGCTGGATGTAGCGTTTGTGTGTTCGTGCTGGGATGTAGCGTGTCTGTGTGTGTATGCTGGGGGTATAGAGTGTCTGGGCATGTAGTGTATGTGTGTGTGCGGGGGATGTAGTGTGTGTGCTGAGGATGTAGTGAGTCTGTGTGTATGCTGGGGATGTATTGTGTCTATGTGTGTATGCTGGGGGTGTGGCGGGTCTGTGTGTGTATGCTTGTGTGTAGCGGGTCTGTGTGTGTATGCTGGGGATGTAGCGTGTATGTGTGTGCTAAGGATGTAGCACTTGTGTGTGTGCTAGGAGAGTAGTGTGTCTGTGTGTGTATGCTGGCGATGTAGTGTGTCTGTGTGTGTATGCTGGTGATATAGTGTGCCTATGTGTGTGCTCGGGATGTGGTATATGCTGGAGATGTAGTGTGTGTGCTGGGGATGTCATGTGTGGGCTGATGATGTGGTGTGTGTGCTAGGGATGTGGTGTGTGTGCTATGGATGTAGTGTGTCTGTGTATGCTGGTGATGTAGTGTCTGTGTGGGCCAGGCATGTAGTGTGTGTGTGCATGCTAGGGATGTAGTGTTTCTGTGAGTGTGCTGGGGATGTGGTTTGTGCTGGGGATTTAGTGTGGGTGCTGGAGATGAAGTGTGTATACTAGGGATTTGGTGTGTGTGCTGGAATTGGAATTCCTATGTACAGTGCACTGTGTACATTGAAGCTTATATTTACTTACATTTTCTGTATCCGCAATGCGGTGGATCCTAGCTGAAGTGGGGTGTGAATTGACTCCATGTAACTCCGCTCCTCTTGTCTACCACATTGCTGGCTCAGTCCAATTCCTGCATGTCATGCTGCCTGTACTGGCTATGTGGCCATTACAGCACACATAGCCAAACACAAAGAGGAATTCTGTCACTCCCGGGGGCCAGCCCACAGCAGCAGCCCTGCCGCAAATTGCTGTAAGTAAAGTTCCCACTGACATTCCAGCATGCACAGTTAGTAATCTCAGAGTGCCGAAACTGCAGTGGGAAACATGACATAACCCTGAGGACCTGGCCAGCCCCAGATCAGACTCACTCTCCAGGCACTTGCGATTTGTTTACATTTTTTAAAAAGTTTGAGTGGCCTCCCAGCCCTCTCTCCGGTGAACTGGCTGATCGTTGAAGACTGGGCTTTACCCGCACTTTGACAGGGGTGGCAAAATTGCTCCCCTGTCAAAGTGCTGCCTGTAGCAACAGCCCCAATGGGACCTATGGACAGGCCGGCCCTGACAGATACACAGACACACAGATAAAAAAAAAACCTGGCAAACATGCAGATACATAAATACACACACACAGATACACAGACATACAGATGCACACACTGACACACACACAGATACACAAACATACAAACATACAAATGCACACACAGATACACAGCCATACAGATATGCAAACTGACACACAGATACACAGACATAGAGATGTACACACAGATACAAAGACATACAGATGCACACACTGACACACACACAGATACACAGACATAGAGATGCACACACTGATACACAGACATACAGTGTGGCAAAACCAACCTTGCCACTGGGCATTGGAGAAGACTGATTGCCAGCCTCCTGCCATGTGACTATGGCCCCTGGGATGTATTGCCCTTTAAAGACATGATTTGGGAATAATGGATTTGTGTTGTGCTGCTGCTGGCCCTTTAAGAACCATCTGGGGACATACTGTCGAGTTACTGGATGGCCACCATTTCCTGTATCAGCACATGGTGAGAACAATGGCTGAAGCACATGGTGAGAACAATGGATGGTGGCCATTTTAACTCACAGACACTGTTTGGACTTTTCAACACAGTGCCATCTCGCCAGTATTTGGTGCACAGAGACATCGTGCAGTGGTTTTGGACTATACAGCAGGGGACACATTATGCAGTGATTGTTTTTCATTTAGCCTGTATATGTTCTGAAGAATCTGCATTAAACTGTATCTTCCAAAGTACTGAACGGATCTGGGTGAATTTTGGATATGTGGTTCACCCAGACCCCCCGGTTCCAAGGATATAAACTTTTTATGGGGTTATTGCATGTTTTGGGGTCCCTGTGATGTGTTTTATGAAACTGTACTTCTCTGTCTGTGATAATTAGATTACCCATTGTGTAAGGTAATTATATCACAGGCAGAGGGGAGGATTTTGTGTGTGAGTGTCTGAGTGTATTGTACGTGTTATTGGTTGTTCTGTAAAACCGTGTGGGCAGTACTAAGTTTGTGGATTGGGAATAAAAGAGGCTGTATGTGCCAGTCCAGTCAGTTCCTGCTTAACCCTCAAAGTGAAGTGTCATCTCATTATTGGGGGAGGATTTATTGTATGCTGTTCCAGTTTGACTGAGTGTAAACCTCAGGAAGCGCTAGGAGCATCCTTCAACGGAGGTACCCAGTCGGGGTGCCATGTGATCCGTTACATACAGATACACAGACTGACCCACACAGATACACAGACATACAGATATGCACGCTGACACACAGATACACACAAACACAGATATACAGACATACAGATACAATAAAACACACACAGATGCACAGACATACAAATATGCACATTGAGACACAGAGATACAGAGACACATTGACACACAGATACAGACATACAGATAAACACTTTGACACAAACACAGATACACACACTGACACACACACACAGATTCATACACACAGACATACAGATACACACATACACAGACATACAGATACACATACAAATATACAGATACACTGACACACACACAGATACAAATACACAGATGCAAACACGTAAATACTGACACCCAAAACACACATACACATTGTGACGAAGTGCCCTTCGCCACTTGTGCCAGGAGGGGACTACTGGCTAGCCTCCTGCCTTCCGACTATGCCCCCTGTGCTGATAGCTGCATTTTCCCCTGCAGAAAGGTTTATTTATGTATTTCTGTCAGGGCGTTTTGGACTTTCAGTATGGTAGTAGTGCTACCCCAGATAGCTATGCCATGGATCCTACTCGTGTAACAAAAGACTATGGAAAAGACTTTGGCTCCATGGAGATTTAACTGTATGTATGTGATCTGAGCGCAATTCGGTAATAATGTGCGCTCAGATCTAAGCTATCTGGGGATATGTTGCATGTATATGTTTTATGTAGTAATTGTAACATTGTGTAATTTTATGTCTGTTTTTAACCATGTGGTTAATGGAGTCTTGACTCTGTCCTGGGAGATAATTTGATTACTTCCCAATTATCTCCAGGATAGAGAGGCGGGATTGTGATGTCACTGTGGGAGTGTTTTGTTTGTATTGTCTGTGATTGGCTAATATCCAATATGTGTCCCATTGTTCCATCAGGTCCCCTAGGGGAGTGTCCACCTGGTGGAAACTTGCATAAATACCGGGCAGGTAGCCTTCAATAAACCAGACCTACTTGCACCTTTCTTGAAGCCTTGGCTCATGCTTGGGGGAAGGGATAACTACACTCTTTGCTATAATCACATGCTCCCCAGAGTCAGCTCTTGCAAGAGCTTGTTTTGTTCCTGGTTCCTGCTCTCTGGATTCAGGAGAGGTTCACCCAGTGGAAGCTGGATCCTGGCCTTGGATCCAGGGTGGGTGAGAGACGGCGAGACCCCGGCGCAGCTGCATCGCTGGAAGTGGGGTTTGGAGTGCTGATGGTGTCGGTTGGAGTGCTCGGAGTCCTTGGCAAGCACTAGGAGCATTGATTGGCGGAAGTACTCAGTCGGAGTGCCAGCAGTCCATCACACACATAGCTTTAGGGTGGCTCCTGCTGCCTGGGACTGTTGGGAGTTGAGGGCTATCTCCTCTCCCGGTCAGCCCCACCCCCTTTTTGGGCCCCTCCCATGCAGTTTTGTGTATTACAGCTGAGAGGAAGTGTGCGTCCGCTCTCACTTTTTTGACCCAAAGGAATCCAGCCTAATTATGTTTCAAATATAACCTTTATTAAGTATTCAATAAAATGATATTGGTAAGATACAAGTTGAAATTTAAACATAATATGTGTCATTTTATAGCCACAGGAACAATTTGTCGAGCAAATCGAGCTTGACTCTAAGATTGAAATCACTCAATACTGTCCATACCTGTCCATACCAAAACTATAAATCCTCTAATGTTCTAATGTTAGTAGATATGAGCCAAAAAACTAAGTAGCCTATAAACATTAAGCAAAGTACAAACAGGTAGGAGACCATATAGTAAGACAGAGATAAAGAAAGTGATGCATGAGGGGGTAGGGTGAAGCATGGAGGAGCAAACCAGGCTAATCACTATTCTGCACATGTCCTTCCGGGGACCCTGAGTGCATGGGCCACCCGATGGACCGTGCGTTCTCCAGCCCGTGCCGCAGCCATTACCGGGTTTTTTTCACAAACACCCTGGGGGGTTTTAATTTGTACCCCTGGTTGTGAATTGCTGCTGTAGAGAGTGTGTGTTTAGGGACCATAGTATGTGTGGAGTTGATTTAATGTGTGCATATGAGACATAGTATATGTGTCTATAGGGGATCTAGTGTGTGTGTGTGTGTGTAAGGGTGCTGCATGTGTGTGAGTAGAGGTTGCAGTGTGTGTGAATTTGTGGGCTGGGATAGGTGCTGTTTTGTAAGGGGCATTGAGGTGGGAGCAATATATATCTTTTCTCTTATTTATATATATATATATGTAGCGGAACGCCAATAATAAATCCACGAATTCCGCTGGTTCAGAAACGAATCCACAGTCAAGCGCTGAAACAACAAGGCAATATCCCCAACCTCCCAATAACCGGACGAGACACAGTTCTGGGAGTCAACTGACAACCTTTTAATCAGCAGGACAATTTATACAAGTCCCCATGCAAGGGGTTTCCTGAGTCCCTCCCCAGGGGCACTCCCAGAGGGGACTACATGGGGGACTTACATTACTGCATATTTCTCCCATCAGGCACTGCTGCACGAGAGGGATCATCTTCCCAGAATGCACCGTTAAGTGGATTATCCCCTCGTGCAGCAGAACCGACAATTCACATAAAAATCCATAACTTGGTTAATATACAGTGGATTTACACGAATGGACGTTCGGTAGATAGCTGGGGTCTGAGGGTATCATTCGTGAGATTACCGCTCAGATCCCAGCTAAAATAACCGAACGCCGCACGAACAACACAATTCGTATAAAACATATAAAAAGAACCGATTGCTTTTAGGGAACAAAATACCGAATGTCCCAAAACTCCCGAACGCCCTGGAGGCTCAGCGGGGCTCGTGCCGTCGAGTAGCCATTTTAAGTACCAGGCGCTCGACGGCATAACCCCGCTGAGGGAACAAAGGATCCAAGATGGCCGACCGCCGCATGGTCGGTAGTCAAACGACGGCCACCCAGGAGAGCCTCTAATTACCGATTGCAACATTGTTGCAATCGGTTAACTAGCGCCACACGCCTCTAAGTGTGTGGGCTATTAGGGGGTATCGCGTTCGGTTCACGAACGGCCCTCCAAAGTGCCGTTCGTGAAACGAACAGGAATACCCATACAAACCGCCATTTGCATTCGGCGGAACAGATAATACAGACAATGCAGAAAATACATTAAGCACATACATAAGGGTAAAGCGCATATCTCCCCAGACCTGTAGGCAACCCTTAAAGGTACAGTCTCTAGTTATAGTTCAAGTGGCTAGGTTTGCCACAATATATATTACAAATTATTATCAATTTTATTTCCTCTTCCCTGCTTCTTATCTCTGGCCACAGAGAGCAGACATGACAATCACTGGTGGTGATATACTCTAATATTGAGGGGAAACCTATTGTTTCCCCACAGCCACCAGCTATTAACAGCAGGTGGGGACCCTAAATAATAGTGGGGGCTATTGTCCCCCAAGCACCCTCCTATTGGCGATAGTAGGAGTCATAAATAATAATAAGGGGTGGAACTATTGTGCCAACCCAAGCCCCCCCTGTGGCATGAGAGTGCCCTAAATAATAATAATGGGGGTTCGACCTATTGTCCCATCCAAACCTGAAAAGGCGAAAAGGTAGATCCCCATCTGTTGTGCAACTCCCACAGTGCTATACCAGCTGAGGGTCTACCATTTGGCTATTCTTGCAGGGTTGTATTTGTGAGCAGTGTTTGTATGTCATGCCAGAACTGCAAGACGTACAACATTACTGACCCAAATACACCCTTGTATTCAATGCCCATGCTACAAACAACCCACCAATGCACACCTGCATTCGAACGCCAACACTACATGTAAACACACCACTGCATTCAAATGACAACAGCACATACAAATACATTTCTACATTCATACACACATACGTCATACAACAGCATGCTTAAATTCAAACACACAGACACTGCTCACAAATACAACTATGCAAAGATGTGCAAACTGTAAATCCCTAGCTGACAAAGCATTGCTGGAGTTGCATCACACCTTTTTTTGGCCCCTTTTGCAACTGAGGAGGGCCCAAAAAATTCTTGCTTCAGGAGCGCCCTCTCTATATTAGTTCCACCACTCTGCAGCCATGTATTATACAACTTTTGCATGTGCACGCTTGTCTAATGGGGGTGAAGGGGGGTGTTGTCTGTGACGCTGATTGTGTATTCATCATGCTAACATGCTGGCCACGCCTCCATCCACCTGATATCCGACCTGTCAAAGCTAGCAGGTCTGATATGTGAGTGTATCCTTAGTAGTAATAAAAATATATCATTAAACAAACAGATGGACTGAAGCTGATTATTCACTTGGTATTTGAAAAAAAAAAATCTAATTTGTAACTACTTACACACATACTGAAGCACAGACAGTTACAATGCAGTGTTGGAATATTGTGACTTAACCCCTTCATGACAATTGTTCCTTTACCTTAAAGAGCAGTTTTCACATTTTTATTGTCTGGCTTTCTTTTTATATCCTACATAAGTACATATCTCCTCACTTAGCAAGAAAAAATAGAACATGTTTTAGGGCAAAAATAAAACAATTCTTGTTATAGATATATTGAGACTCACATGGCTTTAAAAAAAAAAAAAAAGAGAAACTATTTCCTGGGTTAATGCCTTCAAAATGAAATACACCTGAGTTCACTTTTGTGAGTCTGCCTCAAACATCCAAACTGTGTTGGTGAGTTTTCAGTTTTCGTGTATATTTAACTATTATCATGCAGCTTTGACTGAAGGTATGTTTCTATGATGACTCACTTGATGTTCAGCCAGCTGTACAGCTAGCTACCATGAGGATGATGGGAGTTGATATTATAGAACAGGTGAACTACTTTAGGGTTCCAAAATTAAAAATGTATTTCTTTTTAATTGGTAAATATTGGTATACAAACAGGTTAATAGTGTGTCCTTCTCCCATTCAGAACACCATAATATGACCGCAAATGTATTTATAATTGGGAATTGTTTCAACGTGTTTGCTAAAACCGTGTGAATATTTCTCTTAAGCATTCTAGCAGTTAATGCACAACAACCAGTATTACAATGTAGTAACTAGAATGTTAAATATTTTATGAGACTAACTTGCAAGTATAGTGAAACCATTTTGTGAGTGTATTCTAATAGGGAAATTGAATTCACACATGAGTCTCACATACAAATATGATCTTATAGTGCAGGCAATTAACTTAAACCATAGAACTCCTACTCCTATCATGCTTTTATCAATGTGATTTATTTAGGTAATTATTACAAAACTTATCACTCTAAGGTTATGGTTTATGGTAATGTTAAAACACCATTCAAGGCACCCAGAACACTTTATCTCAAAGCAATGGTCTGAGTGCCCTGTAGTTTTAACACCGCAACATAAAACATTGCAGGATTAAACACACCTCTAGTAGCTGTCTTACTGACATTAGAGCCGCAGCAACAAAGGTGTGAAACTGTCATGTGACCAAATGCCGCTAATAGGAGAGCATTGAATTCAATGCTTTTCTATGAGAAGCGTTTTGAAAGGATGCGCATGCAAGTGCACCTCATTCCCAATACTGCTCTGAGGAACATTGGACTGGACGTTGATTGTGGAAGCAACACCACGTAGATGTTGCAGCGGCACACTGACAGTCTAGGTGCTGGGGAAAAAAATTTAGCTAAAGAAGGATTGCCTAGGACACTATTCCTAATACTATAGTGTACCTTTTTTAAGTTTGTCTATGTTAGTCCTTGTCAGCAGGGGCGGACTGACTGGTCGGTACTTCGGACATGGTCCAAAGGCCCGACTGGGAGGGGGGCCCGGCGGCAGGGCCGGATTGGCCCACCGGGGCCGCGGCATCTAGGGGCTAAGCAAGTAGGTGCCACCGGGTGGCCGGTCCGGTGGCACACTTTGAGGGGGCTGGCCGTGCTCCACGCTGGAGCTGCCGGGCCAGGTGGCAGCCTCGCCGGTCCGGCGGCACGCCTGGCCTGTCACTAGCGCTGAGGACTGAAGGAGGGAGGAGCATGTCTCTGTTTCATGCTCCCTTGCTGTTCCCACAATTCCCAGTACAGGATACATGTGGAAGAGAGAGACACAGGGAGAAAGGAGAGAGACACACAAGGGGAGGGGGGGGGGCAGAGGCGTAAGAGAGACTGGGAAGGAGAGGGGAGACATGGACACCGAGGAGCAGTGAGGGGGAGAAAGAAACATACAGAGGGACTGGGGGTGAGACAAAAAGGCACACAGAGGGGCTGTATATATCACTGGTGGATCCAGGGGGGCAACGGGGCAATTGCCCCCCCTGCCCTGCCAACCGATCTCTCTCCCTGATCCTCAGGCACCGTGCAGGCAGCCGGGGAGGGAGGAAGAGAGGACCCGGGAGCTCAGCCTGCAGCTCCTCTGGGTCCTTCTTGCGCGAGCACAGAGCATTGCCGCGGTTACCACGGCAACGCTCCGGCTCTCACAAGAGTCAACTCTAGCCCTGGAGCTACGGGCTAGAGTTCACTCTCAACACTGTGACCACCAGGGATTCCTGGTGAACTCTAGCCCCATAAACACACTGCCCCCACACACACACCATACACATTCACACACACATTCACACACTGCCCCCCATACACACACTGGCCCCATACACATTTACACACATTGCCACACACACTGCCCACCCATACACACAGACCCCCATACTAACATTGCGACACACATACACAGCCCCCTCATACACACACTGAACCTTTCACACACACTGCACCCCTCACACATTGCACCACTGCTCCTATACCCTACTACAGCCCCATATCTCAGCAGACCCCAGGTAAGTTGTCAAACTGTTCTTAAAGTAGTGGTTATTGTGCATGGATTATTTCTTTAAATAATCTACAAGTGCCCCAGTAGCCGGCCAGCCAGTCAGCCCACAGCCTGCCGGCAGCAGCCAGCAAGCCCACAGCCTGCCGACCAACAACAGTAATTAAGGTAAGAAGAGCCAACTTGGCCTAGGTATCAGCAAGCTATGTTGTGTTGCTATATTGTGAATAGGAACCAGAGTGTTGGAGAGAACCCCCTCCAGGCCCCATTAGACTTCATTGTAGTCTCTACTGGGGCCTGGAGGCGACTGTTTCCAGCAGAGGCTATCTAATGGATATTGAGATGGCCTCTGTTAGAAAGACACCCTTCCAAGCCTATTAGACTCAATTGTAGCCTCTGCTGGGGCCTGGAGGGGATTCTTTCTAACACACTCTCTAAAAGGACACTGAGCCTCTGCTAGAAAGACCCCCCCTCCATGGCCCATTAGCCCTCAATTGTAGTCTCTACTGGGGCCTTGAAGGGATTATTGCACTTTTGTTCCTTGTGTCTAAAGATTGTGTAGGGTGTGGCTGGAGGCGGGACAAGGGTGGCGCTTGCTGCGGAGCATGGGTGGTCCTGTAAGGGGGCCCTTGATTTATTTTGCCCGGGGGCTATGAGGGTTCTCAGTCTGCCCCTGCTTGTCAGATGTTTTTTTTTTGTTTTGTTTTTTTTTTTTTACTTATTCACTAAGCCCAGATTTAGTACAAGTGGGAAGCCAGCTGGCAAAACTGAGGCTATCATGGCTAATACCCTGATCATAGAAACATAGAATGTGACGGCAGATAAAAACCATTTGGCCCATCTAGTCTGCCCAATTTTCGAGATACTTTCATTAGTCCCTGTCCTTGTATCTACTAAATATTTATTTTTGAGAGGGGGATCATTGCAGTGTCTCTTACATGTGATATTTCTTACAGAATGGTATAATATCATAAGGTGTTATCTTTTTAAAATGTTTGTTTTCAGAATGCTGGGCAATGTTTCACTGGTTTTCTAACTACATAGAACTATTAAATAATTATATGTAATTACAATCATTGTTATGGCACAGGCTATAGCTGTGTCCCATAGGCTGTCACTCAGCAATTTTTAAAGAATAGAGGTGCATGTTTCCCATAACACTAACCATGAATACCCCCAATCCAAAACCCACCCTAATTCTAAGCACCCCTAACTTTAAATCGAAGAGTGACATTTGCTAGATGCTGTAGACACTGTTCACTCTTCTGAATGCAATATTATCATAATGTCACTCCAACCAATTCCTGACATTCTAGGCTCTCCGATACGTTTTCTATAAGGAGTTTCGCCAACTACTGAAACTGAACTAGGTGCCTGTATACAATTAATGAAAAGCTATTTTACCATTAGATTTAATATTCATCAGAATTAGCCAAGTCCTTTGTACATTTCTTTTCATAAACTGCTCTTGGGGCTATTTTACCAGTCTATGCAGTCAGCACAAAAGTTCTTATGAGATATTCCTCTGAAAGTGAAACTCTGTCTGCTGATGTACTGCATTATTATTGTGCTGCACACTCTGAAGTAAAACAATAGATCGCCCCTCTGTAACATTATTCAAGCCATGCAGCTATCCTTTTTTTTGTGTGTGTGTGTGTGTATGTATATTTATTCACGTTTACTTTTAAATATAATATTAATAAATAATGCAAAAATGTATATATAAACTAACCAAAATTCACTTGCACCATACAAGCCATTGCGTGGATTTTGTATTTTTTTTTTTTATATTAAATAGTTTAATCTTGGTTTTTATTGTGTTTTTTTAAAAGGTCAGTTGCTAAACCTATATACCTAAATTTAAAGAACCTTCAGATATATTTAATTTAAAAAAATCTATGTTAAATGAAGGATATGGAGCAAAAGCAATGATTTGAATACGATATTGTTGTCTTCCAAGTTCCCACTCCATTTTAAATGGAACAAATGGTCTATATAGAATGTAAAATACTCTATTGTACCATAAGTCACGGGGGATGTATCAGCTTACCTATAAAACCAACAGAAGCAGAGGCAAATAAGCTGAAGCCTAGAATCTCTCTGGGGAAATAACGAGCTCAGGAACCGGACTCGATTGGGTATTTATCATCCTACCTGTTTTACAATCTCTATATGATAGATGGCTAAAACAGTGTTGTATCTGTATATCCATTAACTTATGTTTTTGGTTTTTTTTTTGGTCTAAACAGAAATCTCAACCAAGAACCAGGATGGAGTCTTGTCTGATTGAAAGTTATAGGTAATAATAGGCCACTTTCTTTTTTATGAAGTAAAGTTCACTGTACATCAGCTGGTTTTTATTATATTGTTGTTGTTTAGATACAAGTAGTACAAATAAGTTAATAAATATTAGTCATTTTTTCTTTTGTATTTTAGGCAATATGAGGGAAATTCTTCTGAAGATTGTTCCTACGAAACTGGGGTAAATGTAAAAGCTGCAAGAATTAAAACCTAGATTGTCAATAAGGTTTTAATATATATTGTCTAAATAATAGCAATACTTCTGTTACCCAGAAATGGTATGTCGTAGCTATAGGGTTTAACATGAAAGCAGTTAAGTGGTGTATGGACTACTGATTTACAAATTCTTGTCCAAAGCAGAATTTCAAAAAATATTTGAAAAGGCAGTTTCCAAACATGGCTACTTTGCATGTACTGATTCTTTTACAGGGTTATTTGGTGAGAATTCAAAGTGAGTTTCAAATTTCAGGCCAAAGTAGCCGAACTGGACTTAGAGAATGTCTCTAGTTCGGCTACTTTTACCTTGTACTTGAAACTCACTTTGAATTCTCACTTTAGTGAACAACCGTGTTACTAGAGTAAGGAGTTACTCTACTTTCTGAGTAGCAATTCATCCATTGACGTGCAAGGGAAAATTGCTATTTGGTAAACCTTTCTATCCTGCATTTAAAGTGTGTAAATAATGGTAAATCTAAGAACTGTGCAAACGTTAGCATTGTAGATTTTACTTCAAATCAACCATGTGCCATTTGGCTGTCCTGGTATTGGTAAAGCATGCTACGCAATTATATTTAAGACATGCCTAACATATTCTCTTTCCACAGATAGATATTCAGGATTTCCAATTTATAGATCCAGATAGAAAAGCCATGGTGGATGACCTTTCCGTGCACGGTAAGAGGCATTTGGATGAAGAGGGTTTATTCAACCATCATTATTAAGCAAACTGCGTTGGTAATAAGTATGATGTATCCGTTCTAAGAAAGAAAGGACTTGCCTGAGGAGCAAATCGTACATTTAGATTTATGTATATAGAACTATTCCGGTGCAATATGCTAGATTTTGAAGCAGTTGAATCAGGTTTTCTTCACAAGTGCCCAACTCTTTAGAACTTTTTGTATTATTAGTCTACATACAAAACTTTTACTCTGTGCACTTGGCTACAATCCACAAGGACATCAGATTATTGAAATACTACAAACAAGGAATTCCAGATTAATTACACATTTTAGGACCTTAATCTGTTAAAATGCTGGAGATTGGGGGGCGGAGCCTGACCACTGGCCGGATCAGACATGCTTTGCCTGAGCTCCCGCGTCTGAGCGTCTAAACCCGAGCCACAAAAGGGCACAGACCCACAGCGGTTACCAAACCACTCACAAGCCGGTGCTGATCATGATGGTACCACTTCCGACCCGACGCGGCATCAGAGTTGCCAGACGAAGGTTTGAGGCCTACCCGAGCTTGAGCTGGGGCGAGACAGCCGCTCCCCCAGGTCTCTGACCAGTGTATCGCTGTGTCTTCCCCCCCCCCCATGGACCGGTGGGGGTTATCCAGGTCCCCACGGGCGACAACCCAGGGCTGCCACATGGCTCCAGCACCAGCCTTGCAGTGCAAGCGGGGCGGGTCAACACATGATGGCCGACGCCTTCCAGACATGTGCACGCCGAAAGGGAGAGAGGGCGCCCTCACTGCGAAATGAGTAGGCACTCACCGGCTGCCTCCAGGATAAGCCTGCAGAATCAACAGTGCAACCAGCGGCACTGGCAGCGACAAGTAAGCGGGACAAAGTAGGGCGGGCGAAGAGCAGATTTTCCCCCTCCCCCGGCAATCCCTATAAAAGAAGGGCCCACCTGGGTTGAAGACCACAAGGGGAACAGCCCCGGAGCATCGGTCACAAAAGCAGCTGACTCAACGCCATAGAGAGAGTCACCCTATCAGGACAAGCTGCGGCCCCCCACATGGGCAGAACCTGGCCTCCCACTAGAGATCCCTAGTTCGAGACCAGAGGATGCAGGCCTTCATGACGGCCCAGGGCACTGGGGGAACCCACATGAACTCTGCCCTCTAAACACACTATTCCACCTAAGCCTGCCACCAAGCAGAGGGGTCGTCTGACCCGGGACTTGAACCCCAACCTTAAGTGCCATAATTTAACTACACCTGTCCTTGAGCGCCACTATACACCTGCCATAACACACCTGACTAGCTGGCACCCTTTCACTGCTCAACTCAACGACTGGCAGTGCACAGTAGACATAGGCTACTACATACTTGCAACCATCAGCTCTGAAAACACCCACAGACGAGCACCACCTGAGCCTATAACAGACACAGGGACTAGCACCATTCATCGACACTCTGAGCCCTGGACCCTGGAACCCGTGGAAATCTCAGCCTCCAGACCAAACAAAACACTCACACAATCACACAGCGAGTTTACCAACATGCATCTTTAACCTGTAACTCTAAGCAACATGACACAGATACTTTTTGAACATCTCGTATAATTATAAAAAAAAAAAAAAAAATGAGCAAATTTTTCATATTGCTCCTAATGTAACACAAAGATATGTGCTTGAGGACTGTCGTTGGGGCACCATAAGCTTCTGTGTTAAAATCTATGTGCACAATAAAAACATTTTTAAAAAACAAAAAAAAACTGGAGATTTGGTTTATCCCAGTTCCGATGGATATATTTGGCACTTAATTTGCATCTCTAGCCAAGTACTCATTCTGAGTCATAGAATTCAAATTTAAAAATTAATTCTAGAAGGCATTTATAAGTTAAAAGCAAGTAAAACTGTACGACTTACAATCTATATTTTTATTTATTTATTTTTCCCCATGTGTTTTTAGATTCATTACTAGCTTCCAAGTACAAGTTGCTCAGTACGAGTTTATGCAATATTAGGGATATCGATCAGAAGTGTTTGGTATTGCAGCAACTCCCTGGGAATGTCAAACTTGTGGCAGCTTACCTCCAAGGCTTAAATGCCCAGAGAGAAGGTAAGTCTACCAATTTAGATAAAGCTAAAGGTGTTAACCTAGTATTGGCAATGATCCACTTCTTTGTGCTTGTATTTCAGTCAAAATTTTGTGCCCAAGTCAAAAACATGGTCTATCCGGGATTCAGGATACCATGGCTGCTAGATGTATGGTTTAATTTTCTAAAGGACATACAATATTTTTTTATAGATCCATCCTTCAGCAGCTGGCATCTGTAAGCATTTAAATCAGTTCTAGAAATGATAAGATGGGGAGGGTATAAATATGCAGTTCGTCATGGATGCAAATGAAAGGGAAACCTGAAGAATCATAGTTTATGTGGTTAAGAGAGAGAAAGTAAAACCATTGCTAAATGTGGTCCTTCCAGTCCTATAATGTGTTCAGGCCAACATCACTAAAGGTTCCTGTGATTTTTGTTACAAAATATTGGTTTAATGAATAAATATATCTCCCCTTCCATCAGAGACGATAAGCATGTCCTTCTACTCTACACGGAATCTGGATGACCCCAGTAAGCGTCATGTTGCCCTAGGTCTAGCAGGGAAGAATCTCTACCTGTCCTGCAGCCTTGTACAAAGTGAACCTCAGGTGAACTTGGAAGTAAGTAGCAACTTAAAATAGAATTGCCATTTTAATGATCAGCTTTAGTCTGGTGCTCTGGCTGCAGTTCAGCTTTTATAATGACTTCTACAACCAATAGAAAACTGTCAATGAAGTGTGTTTGTATATATCTACATAAACATGGACACTTTGAAAAAGTGTGCCAAATTTTGTCAGTTTGAAAACACACACATACATAGCGCATATTATGTAACCCTTTTTGTTGAAATATATTTCCAATAAACTTTCTTTCTCTCAGAAAGTCAATACCCTTAGCGGATTAAAAGATGACGAATTGCTACGATTCCTCTTTCTGAAGTGTGAAAATGGTCCAACATTCAAATTTGAGCCTGCTTTGTGCCGTGGCTGGTATATCAGCACCTCGCGAAAAGTGAATGAAACCATCTTAATGAAGCCTGAAGCTGATCAAAAATATGTCAGAGATTTCTTAGTAATTTCATAAAATGTATATACTGTATGTATGTTATAATATGTCACCCAACAAAGCCAGTATACAGTTATGTATTGGTTACAAGGCAGAAATAACCATGCTGTTAAATATGAGGTCTGATGTACATACTGTGCTCATGTTTTTAGGAAATGTTATAAATTTACATTAAATGAGTTTTAAACAAGAAGACTTGTTACTATTGAGGAACTTCTTATTGCCCTTAAATCCTTCTGAATAGGCATTTTCTTTCCTATGTCTATTACTGCAAGGTGTTCCCTAATTCCCTCCACTCCTGCTTTGTAAAGGTCTTTTAACCCCTTAAGGACCAAACTTCTGGAATAAAAGGGAATCATGACATGGCAGACATGTCATGTGTCCCTAAGGGGTTAAATACTCTAGAGTTTGCCTTTCACTCTCATTTCTTATCCAGAAATAGTGAAATGGTTATCTTAAAGGAACAATCCATGGACCATAACTACATAAAGCTGGTGTGGTTATGGTGGTAGGAGTGCACTGGGTTACCCCCCTACCACCCACCCTTCCTCTTTTGTAAATAGTCAAACAGTTTACAGAACACCTTGACTGCTCACCTGCCTCCACTACAGAAGCTTTCAGTGTGAACAAGGTTTGGCAGTACAGGATTTGGCTCACTGGCTGAGAGTGATTACCTGGAGCAGGGCTTAGGTCCTGCTTACGAACATCTGGCTCTGTCAGATGTACCTAGACCCCAGGTAAGCTGCTCAATGAGCTTACATGCTAGAGGGAGTGGGGTAAAATGACACAAAAAGGTAAGGATAGTATTAGACTAGTGACCGTTGCAGAAGAGGAATCAGTCAGGAGCTATTAGCAGTTTAATTGATACGCTTTTATGAAGAAGTGGGTTTTTAACGATTTTTTTTGAAGGAGTGGAGACTGGGTGAGCATCTAACGGAGGAGGAAAGCGAGTTCCACAGGAACGGCGCAGCCCTCGAGAAATCTTGAAGGCGAGCATCAGAGGTGGGAGTATGGACAGAATATTGTAAGTTTGACTACTTACAACAGGGGTGTGCCAGGGCACATTACAGTGGTTATGGTGCCTTTGGGGGGGTGGGGGGGGAGGGAGACCAGAGGCCTCTATGGAGTTAGGAATACAACTTTAAACCGTTTCACTACCTCACACATCCCCCTCAATTGTGCTCATCCTTTCCCCTTCAAATATACCACACAGACATGCTCTCCTTCGATATTTCACTCTATCAAATCTAGTGTCTTCTGTACATGTAATCGATGTTATTCTAACCAACCAGCTTCAAAATACCTTGCAACCTTTCTATAGCACACTGGATATTAAAGTTGCACTGGAAAATGCCCAGTACTCTGTATGAAAGATCCTGTACTGCAAGTAGATCTTCACAACAAGAATTGTGCAAAAAAACAGGAAATTTCTACCAGCCTAGAACTCTGACATCAATACTCTCCTTCCTCCTACATTCACCTATTTCCAAACCTTACTTCTAAGACTCACAGAAAATGAATCCAAACTGTTGCTCAGCGTTACATAACAAATAGAATCAGCTTACCATTCACATGAGACTCTTTCTTCAGCTTTATTGTACTCTGATCAATCAACCGGAACTAGTCCACTATCACAGCCAAACCCTCCACTCCATAACCGCACAGCTGTAAAGTTATCACATTGAAATATAAATAAAGGCTTCATTTTAGAATGCACAACATCAAACTGTGCCAAATTACATGGAAGGTAACCTAGACCATAGCCTGGGGTCTAGCAGGTGAGATCAATGTCTGCAGAGTAACAAGAAATCCCTGCTGGCAATTCAGTAAAGAACTATACAAATATAGTAAACAATCTGACCACAAGTAAGCATAAATTGAGAAAAGTCTCTGAAGACAGTTTATGCAGTATTTATGGCAGGTAACATGTTAATCTCCTGTGTTCAAATTAGTGTAGGACCCACCAATATTGGAGTACTGTGACATAGTGATGGGCTTAACACAACATGGCCATATGGTGTAGCTGAATCCCCATATTTGTTTGCTAAGAAAAGTGAGTTTAAGTAGGCTTGTAAAATTGAAAACTGTGTGTTTTGTTTGTGTGTGTGTGTGTGTTTTTTACGCTATTTCCTAATCTGGATTTTGTATAGATTTTGGTCTTTATGGAAGCTCCACTGTTTAGAAATGTATGTTGCATTTGTGCCCCCAATTCCCTTTTTCCATTGAGAATCCATTGTTCTTGATCAGGGGTAGGTTCATTAAACATTTTTATTTTATTTGGTCTGTAGTTGTTTCTCACACCGCTTCCACCATATGCAGCAGTGAGTGCCAGTGAATGCTAAACAGTCACAGAACAGAAATATTTACTTTCCTTGCATCTTGGTATTAACAGCGACTACAAGGGTGGTTGAATTCAGATGCAGCAATTACAAGGCATTCACTGCCGGTGTGTATGCTATGATGTCATCAGTGACACTGCCCTGTGCTTCTTTTGCGCAGCCACAACCAAGGTGCACATGTCCAACTTCAATTCACATGATTCCTATGGACAGGACACCGATGACTGGATCTTTGGGCATGGAAAGAGCAAGCCAGAAGAAGCAACCGGGAAATATAAAAAAACAAAAATCTTATTTACCTGCATTTAATACCTGCAGAAAGAGGCAACTGTCTCATTCAAAATACATGTCCCTTTAAAGGGTTGAGCATGCAAAGCTATCTGTGACTGTCCCTTCATACTGTGTGGTCATATGGATGGCTTTCATGCTTCACATAAGCAGAACAATCACACTGAGATTTGTTTGCACTAGCCCCAGGCTAAAAAATCCCAGCCCTCCTGATCTAGGAAGTTCCCAGCACTCAAAATTCCGATGCACACAATAGTGACATGTATAATAGGCCTATCTTGTGGAATAATCAAATTAACATAGCAAAAAAGGATGCGAATAAATTGACACTTTTTTTGTTAAGCAATCTGAAAACTTTTTCTTAGAATCAGGAAAGATGAGAGAATATACAGTAAGCTCAAGTATAGATATAATTCCTATTTAAAAAAATCTCGAATTAATAAAGAAATCAAGTTTAGATCACTTCTGACAATTTATATACTGATTTTGATAGTTTGTTTTGTGTGTGTATATTTAATTTATTCCTTAAAAAAAATACATTAGTATTATTGAAGTAAACTTCCTTAAAATAAATTAGATCAAATCTGTACATTCATATTATTTATAATAATAGCCATCCCTATGCGGAGAAAAAATATCCTATCTGTTAATATCCACATCCTTAATATAAAATATAGATATTATCTTTTTAAAAGTTATACGATAATGGTAAATATATTATAAATATAGTAAATTATAGCATTATCAGATAACCTTTAGGATTATATTTTTCTAGCAGTATATATATATTTTAAGAGAATATGACTGACTATTCCTGGAATTTGAATCAATGTTAATTTAAAAATGTTCCACTTAAGCGCTAGAGAGTGTGTGTTTTTGTTTTGTTTGTTTATATATATATATATAAAATATGTCCCTTAACACATGGAGCAAAAAAGGTTCAAGTTTCAATCAGACTTTTTATACTCATTCTGATCTTCTCCTCAACAACAGCAAAAAAACACAAGTAAACTTTTTTTTATTTTTTTTTTATTTTAAAGCAAGCTACAGGGGGTGTCTCAAATAGTCTTTAAAACCAGCAAGGGAAGAGGTGTTAAAGCTAAAGAATCTGCCTGTGAGAAGCAAGAGAGCTCAGTCTCAGGAACCAGGTCTGTATCAGTCATTTATCATCCTGTCTGTTGTACAATCTCTACAGCAAGTTTATTTTTTCCCTGCAGAAAAAAACATCAGCACAAATTCTGTGATTAAACTTATACAGAATGTAATTTGCTTTATGCAATATATACTGTCTGGTATAAATAAGTGAAATTGTAAATATATATATAATATATATATATATATATATATATATATATATATATTTTACTGGTGCTTAGGTTTATATCCAGCAACGAAGATGGTAGTTATTATGAATAAATTATTAAATCGTTATGAGGCAGCTGGATTGCATAAACATTATTCAACATGGCAGAGTTTCCTAAATTGGCTATTTTTATTTACCTTTCACTATTTGATTTCCCACAATCCCTATGTGGCTGAATGCTGGTGAATAGAATATTTGCATAAATCTGCATGGGTTATTTCAATCTCAAACTACCTCTTAATGCACTGTATTTCCACAGAAAAGCCACTATTCCCACAAACTGCGCCATCTCCCGCCACATCTGTTGTTTTGGTTGCAGTTCTAGAATACAGATGGAGATCACCAGAAAAGTGGTTTCTGGATACTCTTTTGGGAAAACCGTGCTGCATGTGGTGGCTGTTCAAAAATTGAGAAAAGGAATAAGCTACTGCCCCAGGAGATTCCAAGACACAGATGTACAAAACCTGCTGAATGATATTTTTGTCCAAGGTAAGATATATAGGGTTTATTAATTATCTAGGGTACAGCATTATGTTTGCATGATACACAAAATACAATAGTTAGAGTTATGTATACAATATATAGTAGTTCAAGTGCTAGTAAATAAGTAAAGGAATCAAACACTCCATTGGTTTCAACTCCACTCCACTTTTAGGAGTGTCCTAGAATTGAGAAACACATACCCCAGGGGAGGACCGGCAGGCGGGTAATTGTCCTCCAGCTCAAACTGGGGGATTTATTTGTAGTTGCTCTTCACACCAAATGTAGCTTATCTCCCTAGGCAGTGTCTGTAAACCATAGCAGACTGTGCAAGACTCCTCCCATCAGCTCTGGACTTGAAGTTCAGACGCTGAGGTCTTCAGATGAGAAGCTTGTTAAAACTCATTGAACTGATGAATTAAAACCAGTGAAAAGTGGGACAGATGGTTGTCTCAACAGGACAGAGCTGAAAAAAAAAAGACAGTTTCACCTAAATGGGCACAGTTTGGAGGCATGGTATAATGATTAAATTAACACTATAGTGTCAGGAATACAAACATATATTCTGGACAATATAGTCCTGGTATGTCCTTTTCTCCCATGTCACGCCTTGCAGTGGCTGGCTCGACTTCCATGGCTGAGATCATCAACCTTAATGATCTCAGCCAATCCAATGCTTTACCATCGGAAATACGCTGAACTGAATCAATCAGCATCTCCTCATAGAGATTCATTGAATTAATGCATATCTATGGGGGAATGTTCAGTGCCTCTTTGCAGATGTGGAGACGTGGAAGCAACTCTAGCAGCCATCTGAGTGACTGCTACTAGAGTTGGTACTAGGCACCAATGTAAACACTGCTTTTTCTCTGAAATTCAGAGTTTACATTGAAAAGCCTGCAGGGAGAGGCTATAAACAACAGAACCACTAAATTAAGCGGTAGTTGTTCTGGTGACTATAGTGTCCCTTTAAGCATTGCACTGCATATGCACTGAAGGGATTAAACAAATCAATATAGATAATATTAATACTATATATATATATATATATATATATATATATCATGTTTTTTGTTATGTCTGTTTCTTTGCTCAAGAAGGAAAAGAATGGATGACGGAATTGCAAAATGTCCTAAGGTATAAAGGTATTACATGCAAAAAGACAGAGGTTGGAACCACAAACAGGTTGAATCAGTCGGTGCCTCTCATTATATACCACAGATAGAGGGACTACACTCAAGCTAAAGTCTGCATTTAAATCCACTTGAAGTGCTCAGATCAATCTTCCTTTCTTGGTTGCTGCTCATTAGGCATCCAGAATGAAGTTTAAAATTATTATTTTTTTAAATCTATAAATGCACCTGAGAATAGAATCATTAACTTAATCCATCATTTTAGTGTGAAATGTGATGTTTAAGCAAAATAAATATTCACAAAAATCTAAAATTTAAATGACATTCTCTGGTATGGAGGTTACCCCAGATGTTAGTGCATTAGAAAAATAACTATATATATATATATATAAAACATTGTACACTATAAATAAAAGTGATAAAATATATCCAAAGTCGCCACTGATGCAGGCAAGCAGCAGCAATAGACATCATTTTTCATTCACCTAATGGACACCACAAATCAGGAGAGTCTCATAAATCTGATCCCATACAAACATGTTCAACCCCAGACACAATTCCACTCAGTAAATCTGTTGTGTGGGATTGCTGAATAAGCTAATAGAAAGCATATCCTGCTGTTATTAGCCACTGACAATCCAATGTAAGGACATGTTTATAGCTGACCTGCGTGCTCCATAAACTATTCAATGAGCATAGGTGGTTATGGTGTTTAGAGAGTCCCTTTGACTCTTGCTCAATATCCTTTACTGTAAAATGGATCCCAAAAGTGTCATACTCTATGTCAAATTATAAATTATACAACATTTGTTAAGTACATAAGCATAAAAAGAACTTTTGTTTTTTAGAAGAAGAAATTTTGACTTCCACAAAAGCATTTGTTGCACCAAAGTATAAATTGCTTGGTACGAAAGAATGCACTATGCGAGATCGTCAGAATAAGTGCATGACTTTGCATCAGAACCCAGAGGGAGCCCAGCTTGTGGCCATTTACCTAAACGGAGTAAACATCCAGAGAGAAGGTAAGTCAGTATTACTAAGTTACTTGGCCTAAATGTTCTGCTGTTCTAGGGGACAGATATTCACAGTATGTTAAATCTAAACTGAATAATGTAGCCAAAATAGCTGATCTGGAAAAATTCTCCAATCTGGTTTAGTCACAGTTCGGCTATTTAAGTCTAAATTTTCAATTGAAATTTCTAGCTTGTTTTCAATGTTCTTGCTACTTTTTAATGGACCAACTATTACTGACTAACATGCCTGAAGCTACTGTTAGTAGCAGCTCTTTACCAACTGCAAATTTTTACCAGTAGTGACGGAGAGTTAGTAATAGCTGCCACTATTTAAAGCCAGTAAGTGCTGCCATCAGGGGAATATAGCCTACATGGCTGTACAGGGATCAGGCCCTATACCCTCAATGTGCATATTTATATAGCGAGTACCGATATACATATATATATATATATATATATATGCAACCCTGCAGGCTCCTGCTGTGTAGCATGGTGAAGAGGGGGCACAGAAAACTCCAAGTTCCACCTCTGGCAGTTTCCATTGACGAGCTGCAGCTGTCTGAGAGTTCCTGTTGGTTACCTTGGCAATGCTCCATGTGATACAACGCTCATGAGAGAAGGAGAGGATTGCCTGCTGGAGGTGGAAAATGAGACTACTGGACCACGTTCCCTCTATAAGCATGCTATTCCACCTGAAGACCAGGGAGACTAGTATAAAGTTTATTCCCCCCTTCCTGCCTCTTAACTGTGGCCAGGAAGGGGGGAATAAACTTTATTATCAATTTTAAAAAACTGCACACACACCCACAGCCGTTTTGCAACATCACAAACTAACACACACACGCACTGCATTCACTACACAAACACTGACTCTGCACCCACTACATAAAGACATATTGAGTACCAATAAATTGGGTAATAGTAACAACCCCTGGATGTTGGGCAAAGGTAACATCCCAAGGATGTACTTGAAAACCAGAGTAAGCTGAATGTACCTTTCCTGGTTAAATACTTTGTTATTATTGTTATTATTATTACACAAACACTGCATCCACTACACAAGCACACTGCACAAACACTACACATACACTGCATCCATTACTCAAACACACAAAATGCATCCACTACTTAAAATTACTCACTGCATCCACTATACAAACACACACACACTACATCCACTAAACAAACACACACTAGATACACTACACAAACTGCATCAACTACACACACACACTGCATACATTACACAAGCACACACTACATCCACTGCTGAAACACACACATTGCATACACTACACAAACACTGACACTGCATCCAGTACACAAACACTGCGTCTGCTAAACCAACACTGCATCCACTATGCATACTACATCCACTATACACACTATATCAACTATGCACATACACACACTGCTTCCACTACATAAACACACACTCTGCATTTACGACACACACACACTATATTTACTTTACTCGCACACTCTCTCTGCATCAACTATACAAATACAAGCACTCTGCATCCACTTTATACATACACACTGCATCCAATACAAACTGCATTGACTTTACTTATCCTTGTGGGTGGACTCAGGGTTGGGCCCTGTTGGTGAACTCAAGGTGGATCAGGTGGGGCGAAAGGCCTTGTGCTGTGTAAGGAGCTCCAAAATTTCTGATGGCAGCTATGAGGCCAATCACCAAGCAGCAGCTAAGGACAATAATTTTCTACTGGAGCCACTAACCACTACTTAGTAACTGGTTTCTGGTTGGTTTCCAACCTTGGCGATACTTTTTAACCACTGCCACTAAACATAAAAATTTTACTCCAGCCTCTTGCATGGTGCAAATAAGTTAATCACAATCTTCCTATACATCCTATATGAAAAATCCATGTTAGCTTTTACATAGAACAACCATTGGGATCTGAGGCTCAAGTTGCGGACCAGTCATGGAGGCAAACATCTGCAGGTCTTGGATATGTCAGGGACCAATGCTTTCATTGCTGTTCTAGGATTTTCGTGGCCCACAACATCAACAACAGCTCCTCCCAATGTTCAAACGTACCCCCAGCACGCCGAACTGGGACATGGATGAAATCCATCAATTTTTCTCTGCATGATGACAATCTATTGCTAAATGGCTATCTGCTACAGCACTCATCTGAACATATTTTAAGATGTTAACCTACCTCTAGTTGGCTTTCACTTTTAAGTTACATTGCTTTTACATATTTATTTTCCCAGAATGTTGTTGTCAATAATTCACCCCAATGTTCCATAAAAATGTATTCTGCATAGCACAAAATCCCAATACAATACATTGTATATACCATCAGGTCTTCTGGTCTGTATCTTCACAAGCAGACATCATTGACATTCAGTAAAAACAAAAAGTGACAAGGTTGGAAACCAGTTAGTAATTAATAGCTGCTACTAGCTAACACTATTGTTCATACTGACATCTTAAAGCAACTTTTTATTGACAAGATTGCAAATGAGACTGTTTGATAAAATTCTGCATTAAGTGGGAAAACACTACCTGTACTGTATTCTTTTAACATTATTATACTTTTATATTCTTAGAAAAGATAAGCATGTCTTTCTACACTGCTCGGAATTTGGATATCAGCGAAAAGCGGCCTGTTGCTTTAGGACTAGGGGGGAAGAACCTCTACTTGGCATGCAGCCTCGAAGATAGTGAACCTCAACTACAATTAGAAGTGAGTAATAAACATGTGCATTCGTTTTTATACGAGTACGATTTCATCAGAACATTCAGGTAAAACGTAAACGAAAGCCCTATATATGAATTATAAACTAAACAAAAGGGCAAATGCATTACCTTTTTGTTTTGTTTCATTCGTTTACTAGACTCCGTGCTGCAGAGGAATTAACCTCCACAGCACGGAGAAATAACATTGCGCATGCGCAGAAAAAAAACCCAAGGAAGGAGCAGTCAGCAGCGCTACCAGCTCCCTCCTTGTAATAATATTAATTCCTACTCCCCCCAACACCTTAAAACATATGGGGGTCACTATATATTAATCCTCCCGGATGTCCCAGCTGTTCCCCCATGGTGAACAACCCAAATAAACAAAATGGGGGGGACATAGTGCCCTCCCCCCACATCGCCACCCGTGACCCGGGTGGAGGCTATTAATATAAACAAGGGGCGGGTGGGAACCATAATAAAATAAATAAGGGGGGTCCTAATTCCCCCCCCCAGATCCCCACCCATGAGCCGCGGGTGGGGACTCTAACTAATTAAAGGGGGGACCTAATGCTCCCCCCACAGGTTCCCACTCATGAGCGGCGGATGGGGACCCTAAATAAATAAATAATGGGGGGACCTAATGTGCCCCCCCAGGTCCTCACCCATGATCGGCGTGTGGGGACTCTAGTTAATTAAAGGGGGACCTAATGTCCCCATTGGTCCCCATCCACGAGCGGAGGGTGCGGACCATAAATAAATAATGGAGTGGACCTAATGTCCCCCACCAGGTCCCCACCCATGAGCGGCGGGTGAGGGCACTAATTAATTAAGGGGAGGGACCTAATGTCTCCCCTGGTACCCACCCATGAGTGGTGGGTGGGGATCCTAAATAAATAATCGGGGGTCCTAATGTCCCCCCCCAGGTCCACACCGATGAGTGGCGGATGGGGACTACAAATAATAAAGTGACTAGGGGTCCCCAGACCCCTAGTCACCCCCCCAATAAAAATACCCTACCTACCCCTCACCCTAATAATAGTGAGGGGCGGGGCAATAAACTAACCCTGTAAAATAAAATTTTATACTTACCATTAGATGCCTTCTTTCCTCTTTTCTTTTCTTTCTTCAGCCCCAAAATTGCCAAATAAAAATCCTATTCCACCTGTTAAAATACCCGTCAGAACAAAATCCCAACGCCAAAAAAATAATCCTTCTTCATCCAGCGAGGGCACCGCACAGAATGAGCTTATAAAGCCTTCCCACGCCCTGCAATTTGACTTAGAGCACTCTGATTGGTTGACTCCAAGACAACCAATCAGAGTGCTTTGACAGATAAATGAAGAGACTGACAGGGAGAACTGTGTGATATAGGCGCTTAAATGTAAATTAAATATGAATGTTGTACCACTTCTACACACTAGTGGGAATCGCTCTCACCCACCTTAAACATAAACAACCAAGGAAAGGATAACCACCAAAAACAGATCACCTTAAGAGTGGAGCGTAAAGTAAATCAATTTAAACACCTACCCTATATAGGGGTTGGTAGGTCTTTTCTTTATCTTAACTCATTTGTTATATCCAATTCAAATCAATTTATATCTAAGAAAGACACATAAAAAGAGTACAATAGTGTAAATCCGTATGGTCTATTCGTGTTTTTATGTAATTATATGAAATGTCCACTCACATGTGTCAGAGTCCTAAGTAGGATAGGCTCAGATCGCTTGCAATTGTGTGCCGTCTGGTGGCACTTTCCCCTTTAAATGGACATTACTTTTTCCTCAGAAAGTGACATAAACATATTACACTAATTACGTAAAAACACGAATAGACCATACGAATTTACACTATTGTACTCTTTTTATGTGTCTTTTTTATATAAAATTGATTTGAATTGGATATAACAAACAAGTTAAGATAAAGAAAAGACCTAACAACCCCTATATAGGGTAGGTGTTTAAATTGATATACTTTATGCTCCACTCTTAAGGTGATCTGCTTTTGGTGGTTATCCTTTCCTTGTTTGTATAATTCTCTACATTTACCTGTCACAGCACTCTGATTAGTTGGCTTGGAACCCAACCAATCAGAATGCTCTGAGTCATTTTACACAGCATGGGAAAGTTATTTGGAATTTTCCCATGCTGTGTAATTTGACTTATAACACTCTGATTGGTTGCTTTCAATCAACCAATCAGAGAGTCATTTTACACAGCGTTCTTTGGAATTTTCCCATGCTGTGTAAAATCACATGTCAGGATTGCCACCACAACCACTTACACATTTATTGGGCTCCCAGTGCTAGGATTGCCACCACAACCACTTACACATCTATAGAGCTCCCAGTGACGGAATTGTCACCACAACCACTTACAGATCTATTGGGCTCCCAGTGCCAGAAATTAGCTTATTGGTCAAGATTCCTGTCATCATTCACATAATTTTCCCTCCCTCTCTTTTGTTTTGCCACTTTTCAGAAATCCGAAGCACTTTGGCAATTTGGACCAGTGTAATTCGGTTTGGTTCGGCACTTACAAACTACCGAACTTCAGGACTTTGGACATTCGTTAGCGTCCGAATTGCGCCAAATTCATCCAAATGTACATTCGAAACGAATTGCACATGTCTACTGGGGGACATTAGGTGTCTTACCCAGAACAGGTGTCTATAGGTATCTAACCCAGAACAGATGTCTATAGGTATCTGACACAGAACAGATGTCTATAAGTGTCTGACCCAGAGCAGGTATCTATAGCTGGCTGGCTTGCATAACACAATTGACTATAATCGTTATGGTGCACAGACTTTGTTGACAGACATTTAACAGAGTTATGTGATGCCTAAATTCTGCTGTATTATTCATGAATGTATTCACCCATAAATCTAATTATTTGACACTTTGCTTAAATTCTACCATTATTATCTCCCTATCATTTTCTCAGAGCATCAACAACATTAGTGGGGTAAAAGATGAAGAATTGCCACGATTTCTTTTCTTGAAGTCTGAAAATGTTTCAACATCCAGCTTTGAGTCTGCAGCTTATCCCGGCTGGTATATCAGCACTTCTCAAGCTGAAAACAGTTTGGTCGGAGTGAAGCCTCAAGTTGATCAAAAATATATCCGAGAATTCTTAGTCCTTCCTTAAATGTATATATATTGTGTGTATATGTACATACATCATTCTGCATGTATACAAAAGGCAGGAATAACTATGCTGTTAAATGTGAAGTCTGATATAGGACCCGATACTTGATATTCATACCATGTTGGTTATTTTCCCCACAATGTGTAAATTTAAATAGTCATCAATGATTGAAAGGACACTCTCTGTACCAGAAACACTACCGCTCATTATTTTGTAAACTGTATTTAAATGTATAATGAACAATATGAACTTAAATCTTTTTTTAGACTGTGTTTGTTATTTGAGTTCTACACAAACCATAAATGTAATAAAATAAGTAGATTCATAAAGACACTCAACCTGCAGATAGCACCCAGGCTTGTTTGCAAGGGCAAGAATAGGCTGGTATACAAAGGGCCCTGCACTTTGGTATTTCATGGTACAGCTGAAGGCAAAGCTGGTAGACTTCAAGATGGGACCGCTGCCATATCTTGTTCCAGCTAAACACTAGTAAGGGTTGCTGAAAGGTGCTGTGAACAGACAAAGGGGTCTGCAAAAACAGTCTTCTTGGGCTTCCACAACTTTGTGGACTTTCGCAACTTCCCATCACACTGTTCGGCCACCAAGGACTCAGTTGCATGACTCAGTGATCTAAAGACAGCCCATATAACCACTATCAAAAAGATGCTCTGCATCATCAAGACCACCCTCACTGGGGAACTATAACATTGATGCAGTCACAGCTCTACCAAGCCAGGCACTTTTGCTGCAACTCTCCTGGAAAGTGAGTCTGCAGTATTGTAACAGTACTGCATTTATAGGATGGGTACATAACCTATGTGACTTGTGGTAGTAATGTGACGTGGGATGGTTAGGCGTCGTTGGCTCTAGGTGTATGATTTGTATATGACTCATCACCAGTCATACATTAAAGGGATACTCCAGGCACCCAGACCACTTCTGCCCATTGGAGTTGTCTGGGTGATAACTCCCACTACCCTTAACCCTGCAAGTGTAATTATTGCAGTTTTCGTAAACTGCAATAATTATCTTGCAGGGTTAAGTCCTCCTCTAGTGGCTGTCTACTAGACAGCCACTAGAGGGACTTCCGTGTTCATAGAACACAAAAAGTGTTTTCAGCGATGTTGGACGTCCTCACACTATGTGAGGACCTCCAGTATCGCCAAAATCCCCATAGGAAAGCATTGTATAATGCTTTCCTATGGGGTTGTCTAATGCGCGTGCATGGCCATTGCCACGCACGCGCATTAGGTCTCCCCTGCCAGATGACGTCGGCGGGGAGGAGAGTAGGTGGAGCTACCCCTTCAGCATCTTGGGATGGGGGGTGAGAGGGAGAGGGGCACTGCAGGATTCTGCAGTGCCAGGAAAACAGATATGTTTTCCTGGCACTGGAGAATCCCTTTAACCCACAACCTGTCACACATACTCACCATAAGTTATTATTATTATTATTATTATTGCCATTTATATAGCGCCAACAGATTCTGCAGCGCTTTACAATATTATGAGAGAGGGTCTTTAAATATAAATAGGACAATTGCAAAAAACTTACAGGAACGATAGGTTGGAGATGACCCTGCTCAAACGAGCTTACATTCTATAGGAGGTGGGGTGTAAAACACAATAGGACAGGAATTTGCAATCAAATAAAGTGGGCTGCCTTTTAGGAGAGCGCAAAGAACAGGTATGTGAGGTAGAGGTTAGTCTGGAAAGCCATAAGCTTTCCTAAAGAGATGGGTTTTAAGGCACTTCTTAAAAGATGCAAGACTAGGGGAGAGTCTGATGGTGGTAGGCAGGCTATTCCATAGGAAGGGAGCCGCCCGTGAGAAGTCCTGCAAGTTATATACTCCAATCCCTGTCACACATCCTTCACAAGTCAAATGCAATCACCCACCCTTATTACATACCCAACAACAACCACATGCACTTTCTACTATTGGAGTTTGTACTAGTAGTGTGAAGTGAAAAGTGTATTAAAGTGTTTTAAAAAGCTGATGAGTGGCTAGCATCGAACCAGAGTGGTCGCACGGTGTGAGCTCCGCAATACTTTTGTGGAAATAGGAGAAACCCAGCTGAAATACTTACCCGGATAGGGTGGAAACACGATCCTAGACTTGCACTCAAAGTCATGGGTCACAAGACAAGGTAAGGTGCCCACAAGCTGAGATATCAGCGACCTCCTTCGACACTCACACCAGTCTACTTGGTCTAACGTGGCACCGCAGGACGATGAATTCTCCTACTTATCTGAGGACTTTGCTGCAGTCCTGGAGACAGGCGCTTCCAGCAGTAAACAGACTGTGATGAAACAGGACTCTGTTGCAGGAGATCGAGTGCCAGTCACGGCAACCCTGCCTAAATCTATGTTGGGGGAGCTGCGCACCAACTTTGCAGCCGACATCTCCCAATTTAAAATGGCCATGGAAAATGCCAACTCAAGAATGACAAACCTAGAGTCTACTTCTGGTGCTCAAGACACAAAGATGGGGGCTGTGAAGCAAAAACTGGAAGAAATCCAGCGGGCCCAGCGAACCATGGAGACCCGAATGGAAACACTGTAAGACACTATAACTTGAAACTTAGGGGCATCCCTGACGCAATTGGCACAGAGGAGCTGCCACACTACATCTGAAGGCTGTGTGAAACTCTAATGTCACCTAAACAGGCTAAAGGAATGAAAATAGATGGCATGTTCCGGCTAACTAAGTCATCAACTACTCCTGCCACAGCAAGTGCTGCAAGTCCTCCAAAACAGGGAAGTTCCCTACCGCTGGGGTATCCCCAGATTACTTCTGTTCTCCCACCAAGGGAAAAATCACAGAGTCTCCAAGACCTAGAAGACAGCATGAGCGGAATGTGCCTCACTAATGTCACCATAGCGACAGATACCCGCCTGGCCGGCCTGAATTTAACGAAGATCCCCGTATTTACCCCTCGACTCCCCTCGGGACACTCATCCAAGACTGCAGTCACTTGACTTGACTGGCACTCAGCATACTGTCCCCAGGTGGCAGTGAGCACCACCTAGTCAGGAAAGTTAAATACAACCTACGTTCTGCTGTGGTTGTTGTTTTACTTTTCTGTAAGATTTCCTTTTTTTAAAAATTTATTTTCTTTTTTTCTACCACTTTAATTATTGATTGCTAGCTCAATTTAAGTTATCCTTTTTCATCCTCTGAACTACAGTTCAGGTTATCCACAGGATAAAAAAGAAAAAAAAGAAAGAAAGAAAGCTGATGAGCGAGGAGATAGATGTGTGCATATAAATAATGACCAGATACAATGTTCAACGCTGCATTAGATCATTGTAACAAGAGAACAGTAGCAGAATTGTTTTCCACATTAGTTTCTAGTTTAGAACAATTAACGAAATATACTTCTAGGGATCAAGCGTTCTGCAACAATAGTTACCAAAATGCAACGTTGTATCTAAGTCAATGACTGGACAGAGTCAGGTTTATCTAAAAAGATTAGATATACTCAAACTAATCAGACAAGCAGCTAGTCTTATATATAAGTAGTCCACCCAGGTGCAGCAATAAAATTAAAAAATAAAGGTTATTACTTCCCTTATATATTAGGTAGTAACACAGGATTCCTCGAAATCCTCAGACACAAATACTAGATATAAGATACACCTAAAAGGACAGAGGTAAAAAGAAATTCATAGGGCAACACCATACAATAAAGTAATGGCCCCTGTGAGTGCAATATTATTACCACGGGGCCATTACTTTATTGTATGGTGTTGCCCTATGAATTTCTTTTTACCTCTGTCCTTTTAGGTGTATCTTATATCTAGTCAGCTAGTCTTAATATACAGGATATCCCTTGGGAAAAGGATCCTAACAACCGTCCAATTTCAGGTAAAGGATATCATAGGCATACTATAACAGAAATGTAGAATTGATTTGACCAATATGGAAACATGAGATTTCACAAAAGCCGTTGCTGGTATATCAGCACATCACAACATAAAAACAAACTATTCTGTATAAAGCCTGAAGCCGATCAAATTCATATCAGAGATTTCTCAATTGATCCTTGAAATATTTAAATAATAGGTTATTTAACACAACCATTATGCATGTGTGTGCTAAATATAAAGTTTAAACTGTAGAACTGTTAAATGACTTACTATTTTACCAACCAAATACTAACAGCCAGATTATTAATTAATACATGTGACTGCGGGTACAGAATACTACAGTAGTCACAAGGTTGGGGAATACTTATAAGATTTGCTGCCTCTCTATAGTATTTAGCAAAGCACCTATTGTTTTCATGTTTTATCTAATGTTTGCACTTCTTTTATTGCAAATTCTGTTTAATTTAGAATTTCTTATCTTCTGCTTGGTAATAGCTTGCTAGACCCTGCAGGAGCCTCCTGTATGTAATTAAAGTTTAATTTACAGAGCAGAAGATAAAAACTTTTAAACAAAAAAAAAAAGTTACATCTGAAAACGAAACCATGCAGGCTGTTTCAGTTACAGCCAGGGAAGGTGTGGCTATGGCTACATAAAGAAAAACAAAAGTTGTTTAACTACTAAATAGCAGAAAATTGAGCAGTGAAACTTCTGAGGTAAGAACTATACACTAAAACTGCCTTATTAAGCTAAAGTTGTTTTGGCGACTAGAGTGTTCCTTTAAAATCCATTTCATGTGGGGGAAGGGTGGTAGGGCGTGATGACGTGACACGCACAGGAGATGGGCGAGTCCGGTTAAGACGACGCAAGAACGAACCTTCTGATGCTGCTTGGGAGATCCGATCGGCATCGCAACCGTTTGAGCTCCATGTGTACATGGTGTTCTAGTGTTCCAGTGTCCTGGTGTTTGTATTAAAAGTCTACACTGAGAGAGCAGAAAAGGGGCTCCAATAAATAAGAAAAAGCAGTGGCTGTAGTTTAAGCAGTGAAATACCTACAGGCTTCCGCAGGAAAATTCATGACAGACCAGGAAGGTCGTAATTGACTCTGCAGTGGATTGGAAAGAACGAGGGT